AGTCCAGATGTCTGTTTTACCTGTTCTCCTAGAAGAGGGTAAGACACACAATGGAGTATTAGGTTAGACGTCCTCTGAGCATGCTTATGATTAGAGATTTTTTTTGCTTTGAAATGATTCTCTCCAACTCAGGCTATGATCCTTGATCATTTTTCCAGGGCCTAATGCATTGTAGAGCCAAGGAAGTCACGCTAGGTGTTAACTGGTTTAGATAGTAGGTTTAGGTTTCTGGTATATGCACAATAGAAGTATATTCAACAAACATTAATAAGTACTTTTAATTTATTAAATTAATTTAATTCAATAAATACCCTTAATTTATTAATGAATACCTTAGCACCTTTAAAATTGTATTTTTTTTCCTGATACATATGGAAGGTTTAAGTTATTCTTCCTCCTGTTGATTCACTAGACCGTGTAGAGTTTCTTTGTTTATATCAAGTGATATAGGACCTTAAGAAATAGTCAGATGTGTAAGGCTAGAGTACTTAGTGTTGTTTAGGTTTATTGTTTGGTGCCTTTTATAATCTCATTAATCTTTCTTGCTGTACTTGAGCTCTCATCAGCTATTATTGAATGTCAAATAATTGAAATCCAAGTAGGCAAACAGGACTTCTTGTATTTAACTCTGTATTCTTTACTTTTACTGGTCCTCTGAAATAGAAATTTAGAAATAAAGTTTCAGAATTTAAAAAGAGTTTTTCATGTCAACATACTGTCAGTTCAGGACCTCCCCTGCCCCATATTAGGGATTGGACCCAAGGGAGCTCTGCCACTGAACTACATCTCCAGCCCTTTTTTATTTTGAGACAGGGTCTTGCCAGGTTGCCCAAGTTGGCCTTGAACTTACTATCCTCCTATGTTATGCCTCATTTGTGGGATTATAGATGTGTACTACCACACCTGGCTCATAAAGGACTTTCTTCTAGGTCTAAATTAAAATTATGGAAAACTACTGAATGAGACTCATTCAATAAACATTTGAATTAAGAACATTGTACTTTGTGTACTGTATTAAGTATTCATGTGATACATTAATCTTTTTTTTTGTGATCTGAATTTCTTATAACTTTGTACTTTGCAATCGATGGAGAACTTGAAAGGGATGATTTTCCAGTTTATCTGGCCTAGTGGCTATATCACGTGGTTCTAGGTACAGATTTGTGAAGTGAGAGTAGCCAGGGCCCTCCCACTTTTTCATAGGCAGTATCAGGGGTTCATATTGGTTCATTTAAGTTCAGATGATCCTATCAGTTTAGGATTCCTTCGTTCTGTAGAGGTTCTGATGTGATGATGGTATATATTATGTAGTAAAGGCCTGTAAATGCCAGTGAAGGTTGAAAGCTTAGTAAGAGTTAAAAGTTCAGTGAAAATTTAGTAAGAATATAAGACTAAGCCAGGCTTAGTGGCCCAGAGACTCTGGAGGCTGAGGCAAGAGGATTGCAAATTTGAGGCCAGCTGCAGCAATTTAATGAGACCTTTTCTCAAAATAAAAAATAAAAAAGGCTGGGGATGTAGCTCAGTGGTAAAGTGTTCCTGGGTTCAATCCCCAGTACCAAAAAACAAAACAAAACAAAAAGAATTTAAGGCTTAATTTAAATAGGTTCCTCCTGTGAGTCTGGCTTTCATGCCATAGCCTATAATTCTGGACAGTAGAAGCAAACAATATTCTCCATCATTTTTTTCCTACTACCTGTCAGACCTTTTGTCCTAGTTATTCTATTTTCGTCAGAATGGGTTAGAGAAATGGAGGAACTTTAGATATGGAATCTGTCTAATAAACGTTTGAATTATGGGTTGCTTTTTTTTGCTAACAGTATTTTTTTTTCTTTTTTTTATTGGTTGTTCAAAACATTACAAAGCTCTTGACATATCATATTTCATACATTTGATTCAAGTGGGTTATGAACTCCCATTTTTACCCCGTATACAGATTGCAGAATCACATCGGTTACACATCCACGTTTTTACATATTGCCATACTAGTGACTGTTGTATTCTGCTACCTTTCCTATCCTCTACTATCCCCCCCTCCCCTCCCCTCCCTTCCCATCTTCTCTCTCTACCCCATCTACTATAATTCATTTCTCTCCCTTGTTTTTTTTTCCCCTTTCCCCTCACATCCTCTTATATGTAATTTTGTATAACCATGAGGGTCTCCTTCCATTTCCATGCAATTTCCCTTCTCTCTCCCTTTCCCTCCCACCTCTCATCCCTGTTTAATGTTAATCTTCTTCTCATGCTCTTCAACCCTACTCTGTTCTTAGTTACTCTCCTTATATCAAAGAAGACATTTGGCATTTGTTTTTTAGGGATTGGCTAGCTTCACTTAGCATAATCTGCTCTAATGCCATCCATTTCCCTGCAAATGCCACGATTTTGTCATTTTTTAGTGCTGAGTAATACTCCATTGTGTATAAATGCCACATTTTTTTTTATCCATTCATCTATTGAAGGGCATCTAGGTTGGTTCCACAGTCTAGCTATTGTGAATTGTGCTGCTATGAACATCGATGTAGCAGTATCCCTGTAGTACGCTCTTTTAAGGTCTTCAGGGAATAGTCTGAGAAGGGCAATAGCTGGGTCAAATGGTGGTTCCATTCCCAGCTTTCCCAGGAATCTCCATACTGCTTTCCAAATTGGCCGCACCAATTTGCAGTCCCACCAGCAATGTACAAGTGTACCCTTTTCCCCACATCCTCGCCAACATTTTACTAACAGTATTTTAATCATATTCTATTTCCTTCCTTCCTTCCTTTTGTTTCATCACACTTTTACTGAATGTATTTCCCACATATTCATAAACATTCAAGAAGAAATTTTGATCTTTAATTATGATTTTAAAAATATTTGATCCTCAAATGCGTATAAACATAAAATGTAACCTTTTCAAAGTAATAGCTAGTCTAATATCATTTAAATGTCAGATGAATGAATTAGGTAATATAACCTTGGATAATACTGTGAATTGCTTAAGGATGGGAATTATCTCTTACCAAGTTTTGTTTGTCTTCTTCCTTTTATCTAGTGGAATGCTACTTTAAAAAAATTGTATTGAGGGGGTTGGGATTGTGGCTCAGCGGTAGAGTGCTTGCCTAGCACGGGCGAGACCCGGGTTCGATCCTCAGCACCATATAAAAAAAAAATAAAGGCATTGTGTTGTATCCATCTACATCTAAAAAATAAACATTAAAAAAATTGTATTGGTGCATTATAGTTTTACATAATGGTGGGGCTCTTTGTTACATATTTGTACGTGCACACAAATATAACACTGTAATCTGGCTAGTATAATTCCTCAGTATTCTTCCCCCAACCCTGTACTGATGATCCCCCTTTGATTTCATGAGATCCTTCTTCCACACCCAGCTTTCTTTTCCTTTTTCCTCTCTAGCTTCCACATATGAGAGAAAAAGTTTGGTTTTTTTGCTTAGTTGTGTTCTAAAGTTCCATCCATTTTCCTGCAAATAATAGTTTTCATTCTTCTTTATGACTGAATAAAACTCCATTGTGTATATATCACATTTGCTATTCATTGACTTATAAACACTTAGGCTGTTTCATAGTTGGCTATTGTGAATTGTGCTGCTGTAGACAGGGATATACATGCATTGCTCCCTATAGTATGATGACTTTAATTCTTCAGAATAAATACCAAGGAGTGGTATAGCAGGGTCCTGTGTTGGTTGCATTCTTAAGCTTTTGAGGAATCAATGGAGTGCTTCTTTTTTTTAAATTTTTTTGTATTTGTAGATGGACAGCATGCCTTTATTTTATTGGTTTATTTTTTATGCGGTGCTAAGGATCGAACCCAGTGCTGCACACATGCGAGGCAAGTGCTCTGCCACTGAGCTACAGCCCCAGCGCATGTGGAGTGCTTCTTACATGCCAAGTTCTCGTGTGTGTCTGTGTGTGTGTGTGTGTGTGTGTGTGTGTAGAGAGAGTATCAACATGACTTTTTAAAAATATTTTTTTGTTGTAGTTGGACAAAATACCTATTTTTTATTAATTTGTTTTTATGTAGTGCTGAAGATCAAACCCAGGGCCTTACACCTGCTAGGCGAGCACTCTTCCACTGAGCCACAACCTAAGCCCCTCAACATGACTCTTAAAGTTTTACAAATTTATATACACATCTGTTAAAGTTCCCTTTGAATTCTTACTGAGTAGCCCAGTAATTAGAGAATAAGTTCCATCACCTTACAGCTAGACCCTATTTTTGTCTTCTTTGCTTATTTATGCAATCTTCTTTCCTCTTGTAAAGGGGTCTGTCATTTCTTTGGTGCTCAGAATACACTTAATAATAATAATAGCTAATACTTAATATTGTAATTACTGTGGGCCAGGTACTGTTCTGAGTATTTCACATATATTATTAACTTATCCTTATGACAAACCTTTGAGGTAAGGGCTGTCATAATTCATTTTATAGGTGAATAAATTAAGACACAGAGGTTAAGTAACTTGTCCAGGGTTGTATAGGTTCTAAGTGTATTTAGTAATGGTATCAAAGGTGGCGGGGGAGCAGGGGAACAACTAGATTCCTGTAAGTTGAGAGGGATAAAGGAGTTTGAGAAAGTGTGTAGTCAACAGTGTTTGAATGCATACAGTGTTCATTTTACTGATCCTGTGTAATAACCATGAACAAGTATGCAATATAAAATTGGTTTAGAGGGAAGGATGAGTGAGTTTTTATCCTGACAATTTGGGCTCTGAATAGGTATGTGTGAATTAAACAACCACTGTGTGATTAACTCCATGATTTGGGATTGATCATTAGACTTTCTCTGTGACCCTTCCCCCTCACCGTAAAAGTAATACCTGACTATACTTACAGTCTTTGCCCTATTTATATTGATATTCCAGTTATTTGTTCAGTTGAGGATATCATATAAATAGTTGTATTCTCCAGGTTATTTTTGTGTTGTGGTTTTAATTTGAGAAATATTTTCCTCCTTGTTAGTGAGCAAGGAGTAACTGAATATTTCATTTCTTAACAGTACAGTGCTGTGGATACCAACCCACTCTCTTTGTACATCATGCATCCATTCTGGAACACTTTAGTGAAGGTAAGATAATTAATAGGCACGGGCTTTTTATTTTAGTAAATTTCAAGTATTTTAGCCTGTTTTATGTATGCAGCTCTTAGTTTAAGATGATATTTAGAGAGGTTGAGGTTGTAGCTTGTCTACCATGTGTGAGGCACATAAAAAATAAAAAAAGTTATTAAAAAATAAGAAGAAAATATGTAGAGAAACCACCCTTTTCCCTTCCCATAGTCACATACCTTTTGATTTACTTATCTCATCATTGTTGAAATCTGTTTATACACCATCATTTATCGTTTTTGTGAAATGCCTTTTCAGTTTTTCTAAAAAGAATTTAATGTTATAAAAGTTTGAAGATTATAGAATTATTTAAAATGCAGAGAACAGAATGAAATGTTTATTTCTATCAACTAGAGATTATAGTTTACATTTTAATATATATGATTCTTGCATATGCTTTCAAATTTGTAGCTTATATTATGACTTAAATTTGTATGTTTATTGAATGAACAGAGATTTAATTGTTTTGTAATTAATTTTGAAAAAATAGGCATTTCCTACTTGGTTGGCTCCCAATCTGATAACCTTCTCTGGCTTTCTGCTGGTTGTATTTAACTTTCTACTTATGGCATACTTTGATCCTGACTTTTATGCTTCAGGTAAGAATATTACTTTAATCTAAAATTTTAAACATCTAGGTTGGGAAAAATTAGGTGTGGTTGGTTATTTTCTGGTTCTATTAAGATGCTTGTTTTTTTGAAAAGTTTTGGATATTATGTAAGATGTCAGAACTGTTTTTAAAAATCAAGTGAATATATGTTATGTATATTTCCATTTAATTCTGGAAATATAATATCAATTTGCCACTGAATTTAGACATGCTCTGTAAAAAGCAATGAAGTTTTGGCAAGTAGAGAATAGAGTTGCATGAAGACAGAAATTTAGGATTGCTAAACTGTCTAAAAATGAATACAGGTAGAGCCTAGTATACCTATCAATCCAGAGATGTCACTTTCCCTTTTTTAGTTATGGGAGAAAAATCCCCTTTCATCTAAAGGGGATGTGAGCTGTCCTTCCCTCTACTCATTTTTTACTGGCATTTAATGACCCAGATACCGCTGAAAATGATTCTTAAGACCTTAAATATTTTTGGCATTTGTCTGACCCTTAGAGAGCAGAAGCAGTTTTGGAGCCAGTGTTCAGCCTGCTCCTCCTCTGTGCTCCAGCATTGTTTTGCACACACATTTCTGCCTTTGCTTTCTCCCACACCCATCCTTCACCCCAGGCTATATCTGGAGAGAACCTAGAGTTTTGGGATGGTGAGTGGATAGTGGGAGACAAGGTTTATTTACTTATTTATTTTTGCTCAGCCAGTTGATTGAATGGAAAGGAATAGAAAGGTGAAGGTGAATGAATAATTTTTGCATTTAACTTAGAATATATTTCTAAGAATACTTATAAATGATACAGTCAGGAGTCATAGTAATATAAGTCAGTTGTGTGGTGGTTTGAGTAGACTGTGTGGACTGACCTGGAAAAATCAACAACCACTCACAGTATTGTTTTTGTAGGATAATTTGGAGTTTCAGACATTTGGGACTTTGATGTTATAGAAATTTTGAATATTGAAATTATACATATGCTGAACTCTTATCAATGATACTTAACCATAGCTTCTGTATATATAATAAAATGGTAATTGAAGTCTTGAATGCCAACTGTAAAGCATGAGAGGCCCCAGAAGTACTATACTACATGAATAATCAGATTAAATTTCATTAACCATGTTTTTTATATTCTGAGGGTTTTTTGTTTGTTTTGTATTTTCAGGACACCATTAAAATGTATTTTTGTAACTAGAAATATTATTTTCTATGACTATTCTAAATAAGAATATTTACTCAGCCAGCACAGCGGTACATGCTTATAATCCCAGCAACCTGAGAAGCTGAGGCAAGAGGATCGCAAGTTTGAGGCCAGCCTGGACAGCTCAGAGAGGTCCTCTATATCTTCATGAGACTTGTCTCAATATAAAAAGTAACATAAAAAGGACTAAGAGTGTAGCTCAGTGAGTGGTAAAGCACCCTGGGTTCAATCACTGGGAAAGATTATTACATAGTTATTAAAAGAACTAAAAATCTATAAATGTTAGGTATATTTCCCCAAGTCATAGAACTTGAAGGACTAAATAAACCATCTAGTCCCAATATATTTGAGAAATGCAAGATAGGAGAGGTTAAATGATATCTTTAAGGCAGTATGCTGGTTGATTACAGAGCTAGGCCTAGAACCCAGACCACCAGACTCTCAGTTTTATCATAGCGGGGAAAAGTGAAGTCCAGACATTTCAGATGGTTCTTTTGCCCAAATCATCTGGTTGAGGTAATCTGCCTTTACCCAAATCAAAAGATCTTTTGTTTGCTAATTAATAATATGTGAGAAAGTATAGGATGAAGACTCAATAATATTTATAGCTAATTGTAACAGGAATTAGATTAGGGGCAGGGGTTGTGGTTCAATGGTAAAGTGCTTGCCAAGCACTTGTGAGGCACTGGGTTCAACCCACAGCACACTTAAGTAAATAAATAAATGCATAAAATAAAGTTATAAAAAAGGAATTATATCAAGTGCAGGCACTTTTTAAATTCTAAAAATGCATTATTTTTTATTCTAGGCTTATAAGTAATTTTCATGTAAAGATAACCACTCAGCCTTGAGTTATAATAAAAGGTCAATATAATTACTTACTGTTAATGAGAGGTCAGGGAGTTACTTTGGTTTTGGCAGAGTTTATTGATAACATTTAATATTTAATTATGCATTCAGAATATATTGTAAAGTACTTTAATCTGTAATAAATAGAAACACTTCTCATTGGCAGTAAATGCTATGGTAAGAATTAATTGTAGTTAGACTGTATTAAAATAGTAACTTTCTTTTGCAGCACCAGGTCACAAGCATGTACCTGATTGGGTTTGGATTGTTGTGGGCATCCTCAACTTTATGGCTTACACTCTTGGTAAGAAATTGGTAAATACTTATTTTTAGTCAGTGGCTGGTAAATTAGCATTAACATTTTCTCCTATGTTTAATTCATTTTAATTAGGGTTTATTAATATCCAGTTCAAATTGGTAAATGTTTTTGAATTTTCACTGAGACCTATTGTCATTCACTTCTGGGGACTCACAGTATAAGATAGGAGTTGACAGACTACTCCTAGAAAGCCAAATCTGTCCCATTGTCTGTTTTCATAAGTAAAGTTTTACTGGACACAGGTACACTCATTCCCTTACTTGTTGCCTGTGGCTGTGTTCTGGCATTAAGGAGACATTTGAGTATTTGCAGCTGAGACTCACAAAGGGTATGGCCCACAGAACCTAAAATATTTATTATCTGGTGCTCAACACAAAAGATTTGCCTTCAGTTTGGGAAGCAATACTGACATAGCAAATGATTGCAGAATGGTGAGAGAGATGCTGTAACAGCACAGTGGGAGAACAAATAATGAAGTGACACAATTCATTTTCAGTAGAGGTAGTCTAGTGGTCAGGGAGGTCTGCTGTGTGAGGCCCATACTGTCTATTCTGCCCGCAGTGCTTTCCAGTGGGATTATCTGCATGGCTTGTCTTGCATTCTTCAGTCCTCCTTTCCTGCTTTGTTTTTCTCCATAGCTCTTAAATCCATATAACACATTTTCTGTTTACTTGCTTATTTATCATCTCTCTGTTCTAACTAAAATGTTAGGTTCTTTGAGGATGAGTACTGTTCTGTTCATTGCTGTATCCTGGATTCCTAAAGCAGTGTCTAACACATGGTGGGTATTCTGTATATAGTTTTTAAATAGATATAAAATAGTAGACCCTGACTTCAAGTTGCTTAGGTCTTTTTAAATAAAAATGACTTGTTCTCATAAAACCAGTATAACCTGGTATATTAATGCTGATATAGTGGATGACCAGAGCTGTAAGAGTTTAGAGAAGGAAGAGATCAGTGAAGCCTAGAAGAATTAGGGGAAACCTTAGTTAAAAGTTATATATTTAGGTAGAAGATTTGGAATAATAATAATAATAAAAATATGTTATTATTATTATATAATTTTTTGAATTTATTATTAAAAATGAACAAGTTTTTAATTGCTGCTAATGATTTGGTTGCTCAGGACTGCTGCAAGGAATAGGGGAAAATGAGGGTGGCCTCTGGGCTCTTACTTTCATAATAGCATTTCACAAAAATCATCTTAATGTCCTGTACCGTCTTACCTGTTGCCTCATGTCCACAGTTTTCTGGCAAAAACCCCGGCCTAACAAGAAGTATTCGTTGTAAGACCTATCTTGAACTAATGTTAGGCCGTTTATAGTCTTTATTCTGCTACATGTGCTGTGCATCCATTTTGCTGCAGAACGGGGGATATCTTTCATAATATGTGGGATAGTTCCTAAGTTTCCCTTCTAAGAAAAAAATAAATCTGAAACATACCTGAATTTGTGGAACTGGAGTGGGTGAGAAAATGTAAACAGATTTAATAGCTATTTCAGGAATTTACTATGGTCTAGCTGCACAGAAGTTGCACTGAAAATAGGAAATTGTTAAGCCTGTGAGTAATATGGAGAGACTTTTAGGAAACATTTTAGCTACATAAGGGCAGAAAATTTTGCAACCCTATATGATAGAGATCTGCAGGGTTCAGGCAGGAATTTGGAATTCATCCTTGCATGTATTCCTTCAACAGTATTTATAAATGCCCTCTTTACCATAGACTGATCTAGGCACCGGCGATAATACCATGGTGAACAAGATAAACATAGTAATAATAGAAATCTGTCCCTTTCTTCCTTTCTTTCTTTTCATTAATAGGGATCAAACCCAGGGCAGTCATGCATCCTAGGCAAGTGCTCTGTCACCAAACTGCATTCTCAACCATTTTATTTATTTGTTTATTTATTTTGGTGGGGTTCTTTTTGGGGGGTTTGTTTTGGAACTGGAGGTCAAACCCAGGGCTTTGCACATGCAAGGCAGATAGACGCTTTGCCACTGAGCTACATCCCAGCCCTCCTCAGCCATTTTTAAATCTTTATTTTGAGACAGGGTCTTGCTCAATTGCCTAGGTTGCCCTTGAACTTAGAACTCTCCTGCGTGAGAAACAAAATTTAAGTAATTTGTTCAAAGTCTACAGCTAATAAATATGGAGCTGAAATTTAACCCTAGGCAGTCTGGATCTGGATCTGTATTCTTCATGCTGTTCTGAATAATTAGGATTATAGAGGTAGGACACTATGCCTGGCTGGAATTTTTTCTTTTTTTTTCCCTTTTTCTGTGCTGGTGATTGAACCCAGGGTTTCCTGCACACAGGCAGTGCTCCACCACTGAACTATATTCCCAGCCCCTTTTCATTTTAACTTGGTTTGCTGTATTCCTTCTCTCTGTAGTAGTCTCCTCTGTTTTCTGCCCTAAATGAAGGTGTTCCACTGTGCTTTAACATTAGCTTTTTTTTTTTCCTTCTCATTCCCATGGTAATCCTGATTCTTTTTTTTTTTAATATAACTTTTATTTATTTATTTATTTATTTTTATGTGGTGCTGAGGATCGAACCCAGGACCTTGCATGTGTGAGGCGAGTGCTCTACCGCTGAGCTATACCCCCAGCCCCCTGATTCTTTTTTTTAAAGGAATAATGGGACTAACTTTTTTTGAAGTTTTTTTCAGTTGTTGATGGATCTTTATTTTATTCATTTATTTGTATGTGGTGCTGGGAATTGAACCCAGTGTCTCACACATTCTAGGCAAGTGCTTTACCACTGAGACACAACCCTAGTCCCTGATTCTTACTGAACATTCTTAATTCAGATGATTCCCATGTTTATATCTAGTCCTCATCCATCTTCTGAGTTGCTAGTTCCAAGTCCCTTGGGCTGAGCTGCTTGACATTACCATGTGAGTATCCTGCCAGCTCTTTAAAAACAGTATCTAAAATTGTCCTCTGCATCTTTTCTGTCACTCTTAACTGCTGTTGCTTCTTTCTTCTTTCTCTTTACTACCACTTTCTTAGTTACCTACACTAGAACTTTGAAGATTGTCTTATCCTTAGATCTTCTGTCTTGTCTTCTATGGCATTCTCTTATTTTTACTTTTTTTTATAATATGTTTAGTTGTAGATGGACATGATGTCTTTATTTATTTTTTTATGTGGTTCTGAGGATCAAACCCAGTGCCTCACACATGCTAGGCCAGCGCTCTACCCCTGAGCCACAACCCCAGCCCTTGTTTTTTACTTTTTTAATGTCTCATCTGCCCCCAGCTTTTCATTCCCATTAGACTCATCTCGATATAGGCTTACTAATGATTGTCCTCTCTTTCTAGTCATTCCCATGATGACAGTGAGTCTTCCTAAAGCCTTGCTTTCACTCTTGTCATTTTCCTATTCATATATCTTCTAGTAGCTCACTTTACTCCCTTGAACTTTTAAATTGTCTCTATATCCCTTTCTAGCCTTTTTATACTGCCTTCTTCACATACTAGCTTTTAGTCAAACTAAACTATGTGCATTGTTTGAAACTTCATTGTGCTTTTTCATCTCTGTATTTCTGAACCTGCATTGTGGTTTTCCCTCATTGTTTGTTGCTTCATCCCCCTTCTTGAAATGGCACACTTCTTATCTCTTATTTACTGAAATCTAACTCATCTTTATGTCCCCACTCAGATTTCATCCTGTCCTAAAAGCCATTCTAGATTATCTTAGCCTGAAGGGAACCCTTTCCTTTTCTGGACTCTTTTGTTTTTTGTGACAATACTGTACCTTTAATTATCATATTTTGTTCCTTTCTCAAATGTAAACACTCTTAGGGCACAAACTTAATTTATTCTAAGAATTTGTTTTGGCAGGGGGTGAATGGTACTTGGGATTGAACCCAGGGACACTTTACCATTGGCCATGATTCTGGTCCTTTTTATTTTTATTTAAAAATTTTTTGGGGGAGTACCAGGGATTGAACTCAGGGACATTCAACTACTGAGCCATATTCCCAGCCCTATTTTTTTTTTTTTTAAGAAGAGAGAAAGAGAGAATTTTAATATTTATTTATTTATTTTAGTTTTTGACGGACACAACATCTTTGTTTGTATGTGGTGCTGAGGATCGAACCCGGGCCCCAGGCGAGCGCACTACCGCTTGAGCCACATCCCCAGCCCCTCCCAGCCCTGTTTTGTATTTTTATTTAGAGACAATGTCTCACTGAGTTGCTTAGTGCCTTGTTTTTGCTGAGGGTAGCTTTGAACTCGCTTTCTCCTGCCTCAGCCTCCCGAACCACTGGGATTACAAGTATGTGCACCTACACTTTTTATTTTTTATTTGGAGATAGAGTCTCACTAAGTCGCTGAGCATGGATGGCCTTGAACTTGTGATCCTCCTACCTCAGCCTTCTGAGTTTCTGGGATTACAGGCATGTACCACTATGCCCATCTAATCTAAGATTCTTAGCACGGGTGGGATCTGGGTTCGATCCTCAGCACCATATAAAAATAAAATGCATTGTGTTGTGTCCATCTACACCAAAAAATAAATATTTAAAAAAATAAATAAATAAAAAATAAAAAGAATAGTACAGGTTCAACAAACTTATTTCTTATATTTGCAGAACATTGTTTGAAAGCCCTTAAAATCATGGAAGCAGTACATCTGTAAAGAAATGACTCTTAATTTCACACATGATGAAATAGGCGTTATGACTGAAGCACTTTTGGATCCTAAAGCAAGGAGTGCTTAGATAAATTGTAATGAACAGCTATTGACTGTTTTGTGGAAGCTTGAGAAATTGTGACTAACAGAACAGTTTAGTTGGTAAGCAGATTTGGAATAATTCAGAGGCCAGGTAGAATGCTTCTTTTTTTAAATCTAAAGTTAAACACCATTCAGTGTAATAGAACATTTTGATTTTTAGATTAAATTTTGAGAAATTATATTTTATTTCTGAAATCTTTAGTTGTAGTAATCAAAGATTAGATGCTTATAAGTACTGACTGGCAGCCACACTTAAGGTTTCTATAATGTACTGATCTCCCCCCCACCCACAGTTTCTTAAAAATGACTTTGAAAAGGGAAGGAATGGAAAGGAGGGGGGATGGGAATAGGGAAGACAGAATGAATCGGACATAACTTTCCTATGTTCATATATGAATACACAACCAATGAAACTCCACACCATGTTCGACCGCAAGAATGGGATCCTAATTAGAATAAGTTATATTCCATGTAAGTATAATATGTCAAAATACACTCTACTGTCATGTATATCCAAAAAGAACAAATAAATTTTAAAAATAAATAACGATGAGTTTTTCCAGCTAAGTGTGGTGGTGCATTCCTGTAATCCCAGCAATTTAGGAGGCTGAGGCAGGAGGATCACAAGTTCAAAATCAGCCTCAGCAACTTAGGGAGGCCCTAAGCAACATAACAAGACCCTGTCTCAAAAAGAAAAAAAAGTCTTGGCATATGGCTCAGTAGGGCCACTGGGTTCAATCCCTGGTACTGGGCGGTGTGTATGTGTGTGGGGGATTACTTTTTCCCACTGGTACAGATGTTGACCTTTTTCTTGTGATGTGTGTTTTGTTGCAGATGGTGTGGATGGAAAGCAAGCCCGCAGAACCAATTCCAGCACCCCCTTAGGGGAGCTTTTTGACCATGGCCTGGATAGTTGGTCATGTGTTTACTTTGTTGTAACTGTGTATTCCATCTTTGGACGAGGACCAACTGGTGTCAGTGTTTTTGTTCTTTATCTCCTATTATGGGTAGTTTTGTTTTCTTTCATCCTGTCTCACTGGGAAAAATATAACACAGGAATTCTTTTTCTGCCATGGGGCTATGACGTTAGCCAGGTGGTAAGTATGTGTTCTGCTTTAAGTTTTTAACATTACCACTATATTTTTGGAAAATTTTTTGTCATTCCTTCCTTATTGCTGTTTTGGTTAGAACAGATGTGTGCAAACATTAAAAAGATTTTTTAAATTTTACTTATTTATGGAAAATTTCAAACATATAAAAGTAGAGAGAATTTTATAATGAACTCTTATTGCACCTGTTAACTTAGCTTCAGGAGCTAGCAGGATATGGGCAGTATAGTTTCATATATACTCTCTCTTAGCTCCCTTCCCAGTTCTTTTTTTTCCCCCCCAAATATATATATATTTTTAGTTGTAGCTGGACACAGTATATTTATTTTATATTTTTATTTTTATGTGGTACTGAATATTAAACCCAGCGCCTTGCACGTGCTAGGCGAGTGCTCTACCACTGAGCCACAGCCCCAGGCCCCCTTCCTAATTCTTTTTAAAAAAATGTGGTAAATATTTTGCTATATATCTTTAAATGATAGACTCCTTAGAAAACATAATCATAATACCACTATTATGCCCCAAATTTAATGCTTTCTTTCATTCACTTGAACTGTTGATTTTGTAAAGCAAGATATACATGTGTAATTGTTGACTTTTTGTCTTTCTTGCCAACTTTTCAGTGAGTAGAGAGATTTCTCCTCCTTTAATAGGCTTGTTGTTAACTCTCTTGCTTCTGAATACCAGCTTTGTGTGTTGCCATTTTGCCCATTTGCACCTAAACCTCCAGTAAAGAAATCAAAAGTTGGAGTGTGTTTGAAGAAGGCAGTTGGGGGTCAAACTGGATCATCTTATGACTTACACAGTTTATGAGTTGCCTTTAAAGTGCTTCAGATGATGACCATTTGCTTGCATTGTCTAGAAGTCACTTATTTTATGGTGTTTTTTGGGGAAGATTCTTTTTTGAAGGCAAGAAAACTTGCCGCATACCAAATTTAAGCATACTTCTTGCTTTTAATGAAACTGTTTGACTAGACTTAATGCTGCATAAAGCAATATTGGCTTCTGAGCTTTTCAACTGTTAATGCCTCTGTATGCTTTTGTCTATATTTTCTTTCCAGACTATTTCTTTTGTCTACATAGTGACGGCAATTGTGGGAGTTGAGGCCTGGTATGAACCTTTCCTGTTTAATTTCTTATATAGAGACCTATTCACAACAATGATTATTGGTAAGAAGCTCCATGTCGAAGCCTGTTTTAACCATCACTTTGTTTTCAAAAGCCAGTGATTGACTATAAGTAGAAGTTACGCCTCTCTCCCTGTCCTCTAATAAGCAGAACAGTCCTACAAACCTGTAGGATTTCAATTTAGACATCAAGGAAAATAATATTTCTTTTATGTTTTTGCTCAGTAAGAAGCTTTTTCTAATAAATATGAAATGCCAAAATAGATCACACAAGCCTTTTAAAGGAAATATTCAAATTAATATAGACTATATTAGAGGATTCACATGTAGATAGATGTTTAATCTGTCTACTTGAGAAAGTAAGCCTCTTTTCCTCTTAGATGTCCTCTTTATTCCAATGAATGATTAGAGTTTTTGATAGTGGTAATATTTCCCTTTTGATTTTAGCCAAAGGGGATATCTGTAGGATAATTGACTGAGTACAAGAGAGTATTAATGGTATGGTTAGAGGAAGAGGAATCTAAGTTGTTTTGGGACACCAGGAATAGCACTAAGGACCTTTGTAGAAGTAGAAAACATATATGTAGGCTATTGCTCTGTTCCCTTATCGATAAAACAACCCTGCCTTGTTCTGTTGATTAACTTTGATAATGGAATGGAAATTAGGTCAGGCTTGGAAACTGTGAAAAATCGTATTCGTCACTGACTTTCAGAAAAGGAATGGTTTTGGACATTTTTCCTGTGGTTCTGGATGGTACATGTTTTTGAAATTACCCTATGATCTATTAAATGTTCATTTCCCCCAACCCCTGTACTGAGGATTGAACCCAGGGGCACTTAACCACTGAGCCACATCCCCCAGCTCTTCTTATTTTTTATTTTGAAACAGGGTCTCCCTAAGTTACTTAGGAACTTGCTAAGTTGCTGAGGCTGGTCTTGAACTTGTTAGCCTTGTGCCTCAGCCTCCTGAGTCACTGGGATTACAAGCCAAATGTTCATTTTCTGGTGTCATTATGAACTGTAATAGCTTTACCGTGAAAATGTTGCTTTTTTTCTTTTATAATTTAATGACTCTTGTGATTTAAGCAGCTTGTCTTATGGCAGTTTTGCTGCATTTTACATTTAAATATTCAATTTAAAGATAAGGCATAAAAATATGTCTGATCTGAGACATTTAAAAATATTATTTACTTTAATAGGTACATAATTTTCTTTAAAGCTTTACATTCTTCTTAATTCTTCCCTCTGAAATAAAAATAAAACCCCACTTGTTTCTACACAAATAAGTGAAACAGCTTTCCCAGCAGATAGATTGTTTAGAAGAACCATAGGGTTTATACTAGTTAGTTTCTGCTGATAAAATTGGTGGTGCTAAAGTGGTTGGGGTAGCCTGGAGCCGTAGTGTGAGAGGAGTGCTAATGAAAGGTTGGTAGTAGGTAGAGTGGCTTTCTGTGCCATTGTGGAAGGTCGCCTTCTTTGGGTACAGCAGACAGACTACCAAAGTAGAGGATTCAGCCTCCCCACTGCCATTTATTACGAAAAAGAATTGAACATCTATTACTGATGGTAGTTCCTTCTACTTTTATATACTAGTTCCTATGTTATCATCACTTTTCTTCAACTGCTTTCAGTACCAGTTGCAACATTGTTTCAACTATACCACTGCTCCTATCTAACCCATAGGCTGTTTTATAAAATACAGTCTTTTGTACTCACCCATGGGTTTGCCATTTCTGCTGTACTTCATTCCTTTCTGTATATCTGACTTAGGTTCTGGTGTTCTTTCTCAGAAATCTGAAGAATTCTTTCAGGATTTCTTGTAGTGCAGGTCTGGTAGCAGTATATTCTTTGTTTTTGTTTATGTGAAAATGTTACCTTAATTTTTTTCTTTTAGCATTTTGAATGTATTATTCTAATGCCCTCCAGCATCCATTGTTTCTGAATCAGCTCACATGTTATTGTCACCTGGTGTGTAAAGTGTTATTTTTCTTTTGTTGATTCAAGAGTCACTTTTTATTTTTGTCTTTCACAATTTGACTACTATGTACCCAGGTATAGTTTTCTTCACATTGTCCTATTTGTTGAGTTTTTTTGGTGTGTTGAATATAAGTTAATATTTCTGACTAAATGTGTGATATTTTCAGCCACAGTTTCTTTCTTCAGATATTTTTTTTCTGCTTAATTCTTTATCTTCTTGCAAAACTGCACTTACACGTATGTTACACAGATTTGTTTGATTTTGTCATACAGGTGATTTTCTGAGGCTTTATTAAGTTATCTTTAACATTTTTTTATCCATTTTTTTGTAGTGGTTGATTTCTGTCCATCTTTAAGTTCGGTTTTTCCCTCCTGCCATCTCCAAACTGCTGTTGATCCTGTCTAGTGAATCTTGAAATTAAGTTATTGAACTTTTTTTTTTAGAGAGAGAGAGAGAGAGAGAGAATTTCAATATTTATTTTTTAGTTTTCGGCAGACACAACATCTTTGTTTGTATGTGGTGCTGAGGATCAAACCCCGGGCCGCCCGCATGCCAGGCGAGCGCGCTACTTTTTGAGCCACATTCCCAGCCCCTAAGTTATTGAACTTTTCAGCACTAGAATTTCTATTTGGTTCTTTTTATACTTTCTATGTCTGTGTTGAGATTCTCCTATCTGACCTTTTCTCCTACCTCACTTTGGACATATTTAAAATAGCTCCTTTATTATCTGTCTGTCAAGTCTAACATCTGGGCCTACTTAAAATCAGCTTCTGTTGGTTCCCTTTTTTTTCTATTTCTTTGCATATCTAGCAGGGTTTTTTTGTTTGTTTGTTTTTTGTTTTTGTTGTTGGAAACTAGACATTGTATGCTGGGGACATAGCTCAGTGATATAGTGCTTGCATAGCATGTTTGAGTCCTTGTGTTTGATCCCCAGCATCATTGAAAGAAAGAAAGATAGTCTGTTAGTCAGACATTGTAGATAATTTTTATAGAGATTTTAGAATCTGTTTTAATTTTTTTTTTCTAGTAGACATTGAACTCAGCCTGAGAAATCTGTGTCCTCAGGGTATATAATAGCTGACATTTTCAGCTTTCAGCTGCTCCTTTTTAAGCGTTGTTTTGTGAGTGTGTGTGTGTGTGTGTGTGGGTAGGTGTGTGTGTGTGTGTGTCTCCCTGTGTCCATGTGTCCCCCTTATGTCGGTATAGTTTAGTAGTCAGCCATAGATTTGGGTATAGTTGTTACTGAGATTTTGGTGCTGATCTCTCTGTGATTTTCTTGCTTCTCAGTTTCACCATCTTGAATCTTCAGCTTTTTTGCAGTTTCATTTGTTCTTTCATTTCTTCCACTATAAGTGTCCAATCAGGTTACTTATTTTAGAATTCCCACTCTGGTTTTGATACCAGTTGTGGACATGGACATTTATGTGTATTTGTTTGTTTTGTCTTTTTTTTCCCTTTGGTACTGAGAATTGAACCCAGGGATGCTTTTACTGAGTTTCATCCCCAGTCCTTTTAAATATATATTTTTTTAAGGTAAGGTCTTGTGAGTTGCTGAGGGTCTCACTAAGATGCTGAGGCTGGTCTCAAACTTGTGATCCTTCTGCCTTAGCCTTCTGAATTGCTGAAATTACAGGTGTGCCACTGCACCTGGCTTGTTTGTTTCACTTTTGACTTCAAGAATTACTTTTTTCTTTTGAAATTTATTTTTCCTTTATAATTCTGTGAACTATTCATGAGTACAAAGACAAATTTATAAGTATATTAAAAAAAAGTATAGTGTCTATCACTACCCTATTTCTACCTTCATAGGTAACCATTCTTAATGTTTAATTTTTATGGCTTATTTTTTCATGTTTTTATTGTGTGTGTATATGTGTATGTTTCATTTTATTACCCCTTTCCATGGCATTCTATATGTACTTTGTTTTTTTTTTTGTTTCTTCCCCCCACTTAATAGTATATCCGAGAGATCATACTATACGTAAGGATCTTCCTCATTCCTTCTTAGAGCTGGCCAGTACTTCATTGCATGGATGTACCCAGTAGTTTGTTTAATCAGCTTCCTATTGATAGACATTTGGATTGCTTCCAGTCTTTCACTCTTATACAAATTGCTGAAGTGAATAGTTTTGTATCTGTCTTTTCATGTTTTTGCTAGGGTGTTGTGGAAGAAAGCCCTACTAGTAGAATTGTTAGTAAAGGATAAACGCGTGCAGATAGATATGTCTGTAAAATTTCCATTTCTTACATTGTGAATGAACTTTTCTAGTGTTTAAGAGCCATTTATATTTCCTTTTCTGTATATTTTAAGTATCTAGCCCTTGTGTTTGTGTGCACGTGCGCACCATGGGTTGAATCCAGGGGCACTTACTAAGTTGCTCAGGGCCTCACCCAGTTGCTGAGGCTGGCTTTGAACCTGCGATCCTCCTGCTTGAGCCTTGCAAGCCCCTGGAATTACAGGCATGCGCCACTGTGCCCAGCTAAACATTTAAATACTCTTTATAGATTGTATGTTAAGTACTGTTGAGAGAAGGAATAGAAGATGCTGTCCTTTTCTTTGGCAACCTTAGGCTTTCCACATGTTTGCTATACTTAAAACTATTTCAAGACTTTTAAAACTAGAATTACTCTTTGTGGCAAATCTTGTGCTAGTTTATCTCAACCCATTTTCTTTTTTTAGTACCTTTATTTTATTTATTTTTTTATGTGGTGCTGAAGATTGAACCCAGGTCCTTGCACATGCTAGGCAAGTGCTCTACTGCTGAGCCACAACCCCAGCCCATCAACTATTTTCAACACCTGTTTTCCAGTTACTTGGAACTACAAGAAATCCTGGGTTAATTCACTTAACCTTGGTTCCCCTCAGTACTTCCCAGCTTGACATAGAATAAGCTACTAAACATTTTTGAGGGCATGAAGGTCATCAGTTTGTTTTTTCTTTTCCCTTTAATATAATCTGATTTGGCAGACTTTATTCCAGTTAAGTTTGGAAGTAGCAGAGTAATTCACCTTTGGGGAGATTTCTGCTGGTTCTAGTTTTTTCATCTGTTTTTAGCCAAGTACCTTAGGAATAAGAATGTTTTCTACTGTTGATCCTAAAAGTGATAGCTGTATTGACCCTCAAACCACCAATATAGTCCCTGGAAATCTGGAGTAGACAAACTAGGACCAATAATGAAACATTGAAGTGAAATGTTCAGAAAGTTTTGAGATGTGTGTATTAATTTGAAGTTTGAAAGAGAGAAGGATCAGGGATTTACAACTGTATAGACCATAGATTCAGATTTTTTAAAGACGTAAGGGACACTAGAAAATCATTTAACCCATCCTTATACTGCTGGATTCTGAAACTTGGATTGATTGATTTGCCCAAAAGTACATAACTGCTCAGTGGCTGGAAGCATGTAGTTAAGCTTTAAAAGAAAATACTCTGAGGGCGAGTGGAGCACCCCTTTAGGAATACGTTAGGAATATGCAGGAAGTTGAGTTTCCAAGAAATGACAAAATGAAATGGTTAGGTGGTTAATAGGAACACTGGGAGAACAGAATCACAGAGGCAGAATGAGGAAAGAATTGCAGTTAGTAGATAGTCAATGAAACCATAAGTCAAGAAGGAAAAAACATACTAAATTTGATCATTAGGAAAACTTTTTCAAGAATGTATTTCTGCACAGTAGAGGGCAGACTGAATAAAAGAATGCTAAGAAATTGAAAACAACAGAAAAGTGTGGCAATTGGAAAGAAATGACAGAATAAGAGTAAACAAGGCAGTAGAAATCATTGATAGAATGTCTTGGGAAGGCCATCATTATTTTTAGGTTTGAGGGGGAAGAACTGTGGTGTGGGTGGGATAGGGAGGGAAGAAATGGGAAATTCTGGGGAGGTTAAAAGCATATGTAAATAAGAAATAGCAAGATCCATTTATTATCCTCCCCTTCTAGTAACTCACATTTACTTTGCCATTTACTGTATACCAGGCACTGTTCCAGGTATCTTTAATAATTTATTATATTCTCAAAACCCTATGGGGTTGGCACTACTTTGCTCTCTATTTTGTAAATGAGGAAACTGAGGCACTAAAAGTCTGACTGCCTGAAGTCACATAAGTGATTGATGATACCACTGGTATCAAGACCCAGACTAGCTCCTAGAGTCTGTGCTCTGACTCACCCAAGTGTACTGGCACTCTCCCAGTTGTAAATGCTGTTAGGAATGTATTTAGTTTTTATTACAGAAATAAACTTGAGCCTGAAAATTGTTGGATCTACAAACATTGTGTATCTTGCAAGAATTCAGATATTATAATATACTAACTCTTTAATAATTCATGATAATTTAAGTATTCTTTCCTTTAGGTTGTGCAGTATTTGTGACTCTTCCAATGAGTTTATTAAACTTTTTCAGGTAAGTATTTAATTTAATTAATTTATTTGTTGTGGTGCTGGGGATTGAACTCAGGTCTTTGTGCATGTGAGGCAAGCACTCCACCAACTGAGCTTTATCCCCAGCCCAGTATTTTATTTTTTTTTTAATTATTTTTTAAATATTTATTTTTTAGTTGTAGTTGGACACAATACCTTTATTTTATTTATTTTTATGTGGTGCTGAGGATCGAACCCAGGGCCTCGAACTTGCTAGTTGAGCACTTTACCACTGAGCCACAACCCCAGCCCCAGTATTTTATTTTTTAATTGGGCAAAAAAATGTGAAAAATTTCAGCAATTGTTAGGATCTATTTTTCTTTTCTGAGTCTGGACATTTTGAAATGGTTATGAAATATGAATTTTGAATCTAGAATGAGATTAGGGTATCTTTGGCTAATGTAGTCAATTCAACCATATCACAGAATTACTAGTTCTTTTTTTATGGTTTTGTGCTCACCATTCTTTTAGTTTGACAGTGAGAGAGTATCTTCCTCTTAAATATTGATGTGTTTACATTCAATTTTGTAAGTTGATTATCTGTAAGTATAGTTAACAAAAGTATAAAATAATAATTTTTGAATGTGTGTAGGTTAAAATTGGACTTAGGCTGGCTTTTCTCAAATAGCAGTTGCATAGAAATTCCTGCCTTTAGGGGAAAGAGTTGGGAGGTAGGATCTTTCCCTTCTCAGTAATTTTTTTTCCTGCTGTTTCCTCTGTTACTGTTTCCTCTAGTTGAAACTTTCTCCTTCATCTTTCAGTTCTGTGTCTCACAGAATTACATCCATGTCAAGCTAAGCTCTTGAATCTTCCCTATTTATTGTGACTGGTAATCATTTATAGAAGCCATAAAATTTGGAGTTCTAAGACTGTAGAGATTATTTGAGTCATTTCCCCCTCAGAATATAATGATTACATTCTAATTGGACAACACAATGCCCAGGGTCATGTGACCCATAGCAAAAACCAGGACTGGAATTTGGGGGTGTGTCTAGATGAGCAAACATATTGGATTACTTGCTGTGTGTTTACAGATACCAGGATGTGGTATTGGCAGTCTTATTTCGGGGTCTTTGTGTGCATTACATCTTACTTTTAATGTATTAAAGTAATACTACTATTTCATATTCACTTTGTTTCGCCTACTAGAATATTTCACAGAACAAAGACCAAATTGTATTCATCTTTACATTCTTGACACAGCAATTGATAATTTGGTTTAAAGAGATTAAAAAGGGGACCAGGCAAGACTGGGGTTTTAGCTCAGTGGTAGATCACTTGCCTTGCATGTGTGAGGCACTGGGTTCGAAACTCAGCACCACATAAAAATAAATAAATAAAGATATTGTGTCCATCTACAATTAAAAAAGTATTTTAAAAAAAGGAGGCGGGGGGTGGGGGGACGGGGACCAGGTGCCAAAATACTGGCCATGCCTCTTGAATCAGGTTATATAAGTTTAGTTCTCTTATTTTCACCCTGGCTGTGAAGTTATGGCCATAATAATGTGGCTCTATCTATGCCATAGGATAATTATGATTGTAAAATAAGAGAAGAAATGTGAAAGTACTTTGGAAATGCCAAAGTACTATATAAGTTTTATATGTAATAATGTTCTTTGTATTACTTGATTTTTTTTTTCCAGAAGCTATAAAAATAACACCTTGAAACACAATTCAGTCTATGAAGCTATGGTTCCCTTCTTTTCTCCATGTTTGCTCTTCATTTTGTCTACAGCCTGGATCCTCTGGTCACCTTCAGATATTTTAGAGCTACATCCTAGAGTATTCTACTTTATGGTTGGAACAGCTTTTGCCAACATCACAGTAAGATATTTTATTTCTTTTAAAAATCATCATATAGCCAGGCACAGTGGTGCATGCCTGTAATCCCAGCAGCTTGGGAGGCTGAGGCAGGAGAATTCTAAGTTTGAGGCCATCCTCAGCAACTTGTGAGGCTTAAAGCAACTTTAATGAGGCCCTGTCTCAAAATAAAAATTAGAAGGGCTGGGGATATGGATTAGTGGTAAAGCTCCCCTGGGTTCAATCCCTAGTACCAAAAAGAAAAAAAACCAACAAATGAAAATTTTTTTTTTTTAAAGAGAGAGAGAGAGAGAGAGAGAGAGAGAAGAGAATTTCAATATTTATTTTTCAGTTTTCGGCGGACACAACATCTTTGTATGTGGTGCTGAGGATCGAACCCAGGCCGCATGCATGCCAGGCGAGCGCGCTACCGCTTGAGCCATATCCCCAGCCCCCCCAAAAAAATTTTTTTTGAAAATCATAATCTATAACCCATGCAGTGAGGTGTACCCATAATCCCAGAGGTTGAGGCAGGAAAGATGGCAAGTTAAGGCTAGCTTCAGACTCTGTTTCAAAATAAAACTACAAAGGACTAGGGATATGGCTTAGTGGTAAAGTGCCCCTGGGTTCAATCTCCAGTACAAAACACACAGACAGTATGGAGGTAGGGATGATAGTAGAATGAAACGGACATTGTTACCTTATGTGCATAGTGATCACATGTACAACCAGAATGGAGTATTACTCCATCTATGTATGATGTGTCAAAATACATTCTTCTATCATGTATAACCAGTTAGAACAAATAAACACACACACACACAATTTTTATTTTAGAAATGTTGACAAGTGGATAATTTGAGAACTCACATAGTATTATAATAAGCAGATTTTTAAATATTTTAAATCAGAAACTTAGTAATAACTTCAGGACAGAACATGTTGATAATTATTTTATTGTGCTCTTTGAAACCAATAGGATTTAGTGACTTCAGTAGTATTTGCAGGTTTTTTTGGTGTGAGTTGGAGTGTGTGTGTGTACATGTCTGGTACTGAGGATTGAACCCAGGGGTGTTTCACCCTGAGCTACATCTCCAGCTCTTTTTTTTATTTTTTATTTTGAGACAGGATCTTGCTAAGTTGCCTTACCTGGCCTTGGAATTTGCAGTCCTCCTGCCTCAACCTCCCTAGTAGCCTCCTGATTGCAGGCATGTGCCATCGCATCAGGCTTTTTCCAGTCTCTTCTGACATATTCTGAGGCTCTGTGTGTGGGGGGTTGGGTCTGGAGTCCAGCTGGGCCCCTGAATAGTTGAGAACTACTAAGATAATGTAAATGTGTTGGCTTAAGTTCTTGAATAGTTTTTAAATGTCGCAGTGACTAGTTTTGGAAGTGCTTTGCTAATTAAACTTTCTTTTTTCAAACCAACTTCAAGTGTCAGCTGATTGTTTGTCAAATGAGCAGCACACGGTGCCCAACTTTGAATTGGTTGCTGGTTCCTCTCTTCTTGGTTGTCATAGCAGTGAACCTGGGAGTAGCCTCTTACCTGGAGAGTCTTCTCCTGTATTTATTAACAACTGGCTTTACTCTGGCCCACATCCATTATGGAGTACGAGTGGTGAGTAATCAAGTAAAGCTGGTTTTATTTGTTTCTTATAAATAGTGAAAAAGATGCAATGGAAAATTTTAAAAGAAATTACTGTAGTAGCTGAAAGAATTTTGGGATATTCCCTAAATTTGAGATAATGTCCAGATAATGCAATATCAGGTATTGTTTTGCTAATGATTAAGTTATAATAACTATAAATGCTTTTAAAGCTGGATAATTATTATGTATTAGTTCTTATTTTAAATGAGTATATATCTAGCCATAATCTTGTTGAGTAGAATTATAAACTATTTTGTGCTTTTAATTATGTGGGACCAGATAATCCCATTGTTATCTGTTTCTTCACTTGCGTTAGGGGCTTTTTTATTGTTCATTAACATAATTTGGTTTTGTAGCACTTCTTTTCTCCCCTGCTCAATTTGAACAATGTACTGGGGGAATTAAAATTTCAGAGTAGAGGAAAGCTTTTACATCATATGAGGCTTCACTTTATCAGCAGAATAATAAATAAGGGGGAACATCAAAGGAAATGGATTTAAGAAGTGTTTACAAACCTTAATACATATTTTAGCACAGTTTCATGGTTGAATTTTAATTGCTGCACAATATTTCGTCAGGGAAGATTACTTAATCATTACATAATTTATTAATCATAACCCAGTTATTTTAATAATTTAGGTTATTTTCAAATTATCATCATTATTAATAATGCTGGTGTGAACAATCTGGAATAATATTTTTTTCTTCCATTTGTTTTATATTCAGAGAATAATTTCATAGGAATGGCGTTATATAAAGGATATTCACATTTTATGGCTCTTAAAGTGCTTCTGTTTGATGTTCTTATTTCTAAGAGAACTCTCCTGTGAATTGGTTTGAGAAACAAAATGTCTTTACTTCTATATTCTCATACACGTTTTTAAAATAGGGGGACAGTGTCATGCTTGTGAAAAACTTTATACCTTGCACATATTTTTAAACTTGGGCTTTCTTCCCTTAGTGCTTATCCCCAAATTAACCCTCATTGGTTAGAACAAAATAGATTAAATTGTTATGGAAAAAGAGAATGTGATAAATCTGATGAGGCATAATCATTTATGTTTATATTTGTGTAAGTTTAACATGTTTTCATGTTTTCTTTCTTCTGTTTTTTGAAGGGGGTACCAGGAATTGAGCCCAGGGGCACTTAGCCACTGAGCCACATTTTCAGCCCTTTTTAATATTTTATTTGGAAATGGTCTCGCTCAGTTGCTTAGGGCCTCGTTAAGTTGCTGAGACTGGCTTTGAACTTGCAATCCTGCCTCAGCCTCCTGGGCCACTGGGATTACAGGTGTGCACCACCACATCTGGCTTAACATGTTTTCTGTCAACACTCTGGGACCCTTATTTTGATATTTTATCAATGTGATAAAATAATTGCTAATGTCTTTTGAAATTGTTTTAATTTGTTCAGCCCTTCAGAAGCATATTTTTAGAAAACCATATATATATAACAAATTAAAACACATTTTTTTCTTTAAAGGTAGTACACATGGTTAAAAATCTGGGAAATAGGGACTGGGGTTTTGGCCTGATAAAGTGCTTGCCTAGCATGCATGAGGCACTGGGTTTGGTCCTCAGCACCACATAAATGTAAAATAAAGATATTGTGCCCACCTAAAACTTAAGAATAAATATTTTTTAAAAATCTGGGGAATAATCAAGCTACTGAGAGAAATTCTGGGAGCATCTTTCTTGTCTTGTCTTGTCTTTTTTGCTTGTTTATCATGTCTATAACTTCTGGCCAGAAGGTAAAACTTGCTAGGCCACATAAAACGTTTGAGCTGCTGAAACATACATACTATGATAAATATCAAATAAATGACATCTGTTAGCTGGCATATAACAATGTTTTTACCTACCTACTAGGAATATTCTAACCAATATGGACTTTCTAAATTAACAGATCCAGTTTTATACTAGTTCATCAGGAATTAGGAATGATTACCTAGAAATGTTCAAACTGAATATTGTATCTAATTATAGATATAATTATTTGATTTACTAGATATTATAATTCAGGTAATCTTGCAGTTTTCAGTAGATTTGGATATGAATTTGTCTGGCTTAGAGGGCTCTGGAAAGACAAGATTTTGGAGCGAGGCAGACCCAGGTTCAAGTTCTAACTATCCCAGGGTAGTTCTAGTACTCCCATTTAGCTACCTAACTAGTTCTTGAGCTATTCTAATCTAGCAGAACCTCTTTGTTATTTCTGATGACTTACTGTGTCAGTAATTCTTTCCAGAGGTGAATTTCATTTGTTTTTAAAAAATAATACAGTATGTAGTTGTCACTGTTTTGTGTTCTGATTTTTCATAGGTTAAGCAGCTGAGCAGCCATTTTCAAATTTATCCCTTCTCATTGAAGAAACCCAACTCAGATTGACTAGGAATGGAAGAAAAGAACATTGGCCTGTAATCTTCAGAAAGAAATACTGTAAATAGATGCTTGTAAATATTTCATCCATCACCAGTGAACTAAACTGATCTGCTTGACAGACATGGAATCTCAGTATGTGTGGTACTTGGACAGCAGGAATGAAACATGATCTGAACTTGTGGAATTTTGGAACTTCTAACTCCCAACTTACGTTATTTTTTATAAAACCATGTGATATTTTGGTTAAGCATAATGTTCATTAGACCAGCAAAACTCTTCTAGTGATTTTAGCTTCATGAGTCCATAATATTTTGGCTCATACAGAGTTAAAGATGTTTTATTTTTATTTTTAAAACCCCAAATTAGTTAGGAACACTGATAATATTCAGAAAACCACAGCATGTTTTCACACGTGGTATTTCACAGTAGGCATTAGCTGTGGAAATTATCAATAGCTCAAGTATAATATGCAGGGAAGGTGGCGGGGGGTGGGGGGCAAGTTTCCTTTAGCCAGAGATGCCAACTATTACAGAACAGTATGCGGTTGCCAAATCTTGGTTTCTCTTTCCCATGGAAATGATTTTTGTCCTCAGAGGCAAAGAGATTCTCTAGTATTCTGGCTGTCTTTATTACAGAATAGATTTTGATAAATGGTTTAAATTTCTTTTAAAGAGAAATATTCTGTTTATACTTAGTAGAGAATGGATTGTAATTATAGCTCATCCATTGGCATGGTTCATGGTTTAAGTGTGGCATTTTCTCTCTCAGCTGAAGGTTGCTAGGATTTGGTGCCTGTGAGCTATGATTGTAAGAATATGTGTGACAGTCCCCAGTCTTTGATAATTACTTGTGAGAAACGCAGATAAAGCACCTTCTAAGAGGAGATTTAAATTAGAGTTAGGAATCTCATGAACCTCGCTATGAACGAAATTAGTTTTCTGACTCAGTTTGTCTGTCTGTCCTTCCTTGCTTTCTCTCACTCTCCTTTTGGGGGTGAAATGCTGTGTTTTTTATTTCATATGGGATAAAACAGAGAGAAATACTCTCTTCCCAAACTTGCCCGCTTCTCCACTTGAAGAAAACTTTTGATATATATGCCTTACCCAGTACCTATTTCCTTAATATGACTTGGAGTAATTTTTAAGGTTTATTGATAACAAAACTTTACCTTTATTGTGGTCATTTTATAAATCATATCTTTTCATAAATGTGGATATTTTATTCTCTGTTTCTTTGACTTTGTCTTCATTTAGTTTGGTGGTGGTGAAATTTACTTGCTGATTTTCTTTTTATTTTCCATTGAATGAAGTTTGTGCTTGAATGAAGAGTGTATCTTAAACCCTTATTTCTTTTTGGACAGGTTGCACTTGGATAAAATAGGCACCACTGTGTTGATATGTAATTATATTCTTAACCATTATTTATGAATGTGACTGTAGTTAAAATTATAGCATATTTCTTTGTTGAGTTTCAGTCTGCTGCTTTGTAAAAAAAAAAAAAAAATAACTGTAATTGATATTTTGTTTTTAAAATTTTAAATTCTAATCATTGTCATCCAGGTTATTATAAGTGAGTCAAGGAGCTCCCTACTCATTTAAGAAAATAATTTGTAAAGGTTTAGTTTTGGTGACTTTCTTTGAGAAAAAAGTGAATACTGAAAATAGATGAGAATTGATGTAATTTAGAAATATGTATAGTGAATCCATGTTTGTTAATAAATCGCCATCATGCAGGTCAAAGAAATGAACCAGTTAAGTGAAGGTAACTGTTTTGTGTTCACCTTGTTGTATCACCTGTAAAATTGAATTGGATTAAGTATTCATTTGAAGTGGGGGAAAAAACTTTGTTTTAAGATTTCTTACCTAATCATTTTTACTGTTTTGTTGACCTTGTACTCAAGGATGAGATTAATTTGTTTAAAATAACTGATAAATGTTTATAAAGTGACAAATTTGGACCACAGATTTTTTTTTTTTTCACCTTGTATAGTGTATTTAAAACAAACAAACAAAAAAAACCCTTTAATTCTGTCATTAGGGTCCTTTGGGTTATGGCTTGTAATTTTGAGACTCTTTTACTTCTGAATATGTTTCTGCCCACATTTTGTTGCATTAAGACTATTTGTAAGGTGTTTTGTGCCTATATTTTATGACATATTTTCCTGGGGTGGTAAGGAATTATGCCGTGGGTGAAAGAAAGGAGGCTGTCAATAAGGGAAACTGAACAATTGACTGTTCCAGAATACTGTGGACTTGTGTTAATCCTTCCTATACTGCTGCCCTTCTCTTGTTTTAGTCTGCCATCTTGATGGTGCATCTTGAACGCCCCCATTTTGTGTATAGTGATATAGCAGCTGATATAGGACTTAATTACCAGTAGCTCTGTGCATTTCTATCATACTGATTACTCAAACCTTTCCAAAGTATAAAAGATGTTTCAAGCTTTTGCATGAAATTTTGGGTGAGTTCACACCCCAGCCTTTCTCCCCAGCACACACTGGCTGCATTGTGGGGAGCACTGCCACCATGGTCAGGAGCATACATGCGTGTTTTCTGTACTTGGCAGAATAGAGTGCCTTAGCCAGGCCAGAGGTTTGCATTGTGTTTCTGCTGACCAAAGTCACATATACTTGTACGAGGTTTCTTTTCAGCTTATGGCATGAAAAATGCCCCTTCAGTCTTGTAAGAAAATAATTCCCCTATATTTGAGATGGTATATGGGATAGAAAAGTTTAAAAATACCTGGAAGAATATGCTACTGCTACTTTTTTTGGTCCTTTAATATTCATGATCTCACTGCATTGTACAAATTACAAAGTGTCTTTTCACAAATAGTAATAGAGGTAGCTTATTGGTTTCAGTTTCAGGCAATAGAGTGTGTAACTTTCAAAATAACAAGGTAAATGTTGTTCTTTGGCATTTTCATATTATGACTAAAATACTTTTTATTCTAATTTTGGGAAGGTTAAATGTTAATTGTGGTCTAGAATGTTGTACTACCATGAATATGTCATTTATTCTCATTTAGAAGTATTGGGAAGAGGAGTGTGTGTGTATGGAGTTACCTAAATTCTAAGTTGATACCAAAAGAGTGTTAATGATCACCCAGAGCCTGGGTATTCAGGGAATATACAGGAAAAGAGTGTAGTGTCTTTTTTTTTTTTTTTAAATGATGCTGAGGATTGAATTTAGAGCCTTGTGTGTGCTGAGACAAGCACTGTACCACTGAGCTACATCCCCAACCCACAGTATATGTTTTCTTTAAAAAAGAATTTTGTTTTTTAGTTGTAGATGAACACAATATCTTTATTTTTATTTATTTATTTTTATGTGGTGCTGAGGATTGAACCCAGGGCCTCACGCATGCGCGACAAGTGCTCTACCACTGAGTTACAACCCCAGCCCTGAAGTATATGTTTTAAAGGGAAAAAGGGACCACCTTAATGCTTCATGAATTTGGAAGTTTCCTGTATTTGGTATTCAAAGGACTGGTTTATTTTGTAGTGAGTCAAAAGTCAATTTTGACTCTGTGACCCATAGAGAATAAAAAGATAATCTGTAGGTGTTTAAATCAAAGACTACTTTCCCTTTTATATTTTAACTGGAATTAATTCATCTTTTTCATTCTTCACCTGGGTTTCCTCCCAACTAGCCACCACTTACGACGACAGAGACAGCCCACTCAGGCCTTGCTTTGTTGCTTCTAGATCTTGCTACATTCAGATTTTCTTGATTGCCTTAGATCTCGTAATTAGTCAAAGACTGAGAACGTGTCAGAGGGAAAAAGTAAGTCTGATGGACTGGGACTTTTGACTTTGGGTCCCAAAATAAGCCAAAAACGATTCAGAAATCTTTGGTTGTATTGATGCCTGTGTTCAGAGTGGCCTTATCTTGACCTCAGTTCTGGACTTGATTGATTGCTCTATAGAAAATTCGTGAAGTCAGACCAGAATTTTCTTTATCCCATGAGGTCTCTTTGTAAGGCAGCTGCCCTTTCATGAACACCCTGTGGGTGAATAACCTTACTAAGTTAGCTGCCAGTACTATAACCTTCCAGGAGGAATTTTAACTAGTATGCTGCATTTGAAGCACTTTGACATGTATATTTAAAGTGACAGTCTTAACTGTAAAGTGGTGTTAAGTTAATCACTGTGAAACTTGAAAGTGTGGTGCTCTGGGCAGTTTAGGAAGCTTACATAAATTTCTAACTTTCCTTTATTATGTAACCCATGTGATTTGTATATTTTGGTCTTTATCTTTGACAATGGTACAAATGACTGATATGGCAGGCAATTACTTTAGGATATATGGTAAATCATGGTTGTTTAACTGTTTTTCAGAGAAATTGGTGATATGTTTGTTTCTTCCTTGCATGGAACCATAGAAATTGGATATGTTGGCCGATTCATTTCTACAGTACAAAATAAAGATAACCTTATTTTTTAACATGCATGCTAGTAATATGCTTTGCTCTTTAATAAACAAATATGTAAGAGATAGTAATCTAACTGGTTTTTGTTTGTTTTTAAGCAGAGATCTGCTCTTTATACAGACAGATCTTAAATGAGTTCATATTTAGGGTAGCAAAAAAAGGTTTGCCATTCAGAGCACCCTCATGGGTAGCCTGATCAAAGGGGTTATGTTGCATTTGGTCAGGAAAACCAGGTTCCCAGAACTAAAAGTGCCGCATGGATTTATTTGTGAATACTTTAGCAAGGGCTTGTCTTTCTAGGAAAATCCATTTGGATACAATGTAAGGGTGGTTCTCTTCTTCCATAGACCATTTACATTGTCTTCCTCTTCAGAGAATCATTCTTAGAAAGCTGAGCTGAGTAGTGCTCTTTTTAAAGCATGCAGATTGGATCATGGCCATTGGGATCCCAAATGCGACATTGTAATAGTGACGGAACACTCACTTTGGCAACACATACACTAAAAATTGAAATCAGAGACAGTATTGAAGACACAGGGAGTGGCTGAGTGTCATGGGTATCTTCGGTCTCTTTGGTTATGTAAGGTCTTCCCTTAATCAGTTTCTGTGAGTAAGAGTTAAAATGATAGCTGATTTCAAGTTTTTATTAAACCATATACAATTGGCCATGAATTCTAGATTGTGATGTTCTTCCTGATGAGCAGTTGCTAATACCTGAAGAGTAAGTTCTTGACCTGGAATATGTTTCGTTAGTACTTGATATTACTAATCAGGTTATAAAAGAAGCCTGATTTGATTTGGCAAGATCTGTGACTCCTGTATCATCAATTGAATTACTGTTATCATTCAGTATCAGACTTTATCTAAGTTTAATAACTACTAATTGAGACTGCTTACAATACTAAATTTTTTTGGTAGGTTATTTTGTTAGATAACTTTACCTCATCAGAGCAGCCGTTTAGGAGATAAAGACCCAGCTACCTATAATGATTTGCTCACTTCAGGATATCTCAAGAGAGCTGAATTGGACTCCAGATTCCAATGTTTTAATATCAGATAACCTGTAGGTCAAGGGGAAGGAAATGATTAATTGCCAAGGTATAAACTCCCTGCTGCCTGCCTTTGCCTTTTCCCCTACAATTTGTGACAAGTTGTAGAAAAAGAAATTGATACTTTGCTGAGTAGAGTTTCATGCCCTGTGACTAGGAATAGGTGGTAAGAATCATGGCCAAGTCAATTATTGAGTTGTGTAGCTCAGTCCTGTTACAGTTGGCCTTTTGAAGTATTCTGAAAAAAGGATAATTCATTCCTTCTCAGGTACCTAGAAATAGCACTGCTGGAGCAGGTGGAATATGTTTGCTACAAATAGAGAATATATTAGAAAGATGAAGAGGAGCATAAAATCTTTTCCCTTTAATGTAGTTTAATTGAACACATTAGTAACTGGTCTTTCTAGGACTTGCTGTGTTCATAGTAAATATTGTAACATTTATTTTATCTGGTTATGTGTGCTCTCTGTATATAGACATATTTAATATGTACACATATTTTCTGCATATGTATGTATGATATCATGTATACATGGGGTGTACTCTTGATTATCAGCCAGATGATAAGCCCTCATTAGATAATTTCTTCATGTGGACTTGGTTTATGTGTGGCCTGTAACTCTGAAGCCTCTTCTGGTTTGGAGCCATAGCCTTTCTTCCTTTCAGTTCATCTCAGTCTTTGAGAAAGCCCTTTAAAATATGTTACTTTCTATGCCCCTTTAACCAGGGATTGTGTGAGCTATAAAGACACTTGGCTGCTCCCACCACCAGGGTTGAGGCTTTTGGATCTGCACCATAGTGAGCCTATTTCTGGCTAGAAGGCGGCTGTGGGAGAGTTGTTTTCCTGGGCTCCCTGGGGAAAGCTCTTGCAGAAGTGGAGCTTTGCAATTTGCTTAAATTACTTCATCAGAATGTTGTGAAGTCTCAGATAACTTGATGTACAATTTCAGTGCATTTCAATGTTATTTTTGCATTATATGTATTACTCTTCCCTGCTGCTAACCCAGATAATTAAGATCTGACTGTTTCTTGTCACTGGATTCTAGAAGCCTTGACCTTTCAACTGGATTTATGTTTTATTTCTGCTGCTGTGAACTCCAAAGTAATGCAGTAGGTTTTAGTTTAAATCGTTTAATTCTTTTATTGATAAATATTTATTGTAATAAAAGAGTAAATAATTTTTAAATCCTTTTAATTGTTTTTGGGTTGTCTTTTTTATTGTTCCATGGAGGGTTTAAAAGGTGAGGGAGCCATGATGGAAAAATAATGTCCAGCCACTGTCTTAGAATCACTGATTGTTTTAAAGCAAAACATTAAAAACAAAACAAAACTTCCTTTTTTCCCTCTTTTTGGTATTGTGACCAAAGAAGACAAGAGACAGTAGTAGTTATTCATAGTATACTGCTCTGGACTCTCCCAGAAGTGGGTATGGAAGTTTAACTAATTCCTATTTCTGTTCTTTTTTACCTTACAACTTTTTTCTAGGCCATATAATATGACTAAAACTCCTGAGTCCCTGCTTTCTCTGTTCAATTCTTGTACCTTTGAAGATAATGGTGGCATAGTTCTATAAATAACCAAAATTGAATAAAACATTGCTTTTGAAGTATAGTAAAAATGACAAACTGGGACATAACAATAAACCAAGAAGTTACCCAAATATTTTCCAATATCCTCAAAGTCCAGTTAAGGTGGTTTAGTATAAACATGGATGTAGAACTGTGTGACTTGACTTGTAAAATGATCAACGTCATTTTTCCCCTTTTTATATAGTAAAGACTATTTAAGCTAAAGGTAGATGGCCAAGTCAGCCCAGCAAAGGAAGCACAAATAGCCAGATGGTTTTTCAATTATTGCTTAAAACCTACCTACCTAGGAATGAGGGTGTCATTCTAAGGACTTGTCCCATCTATAAGTCATTTCTCAAAGCAGATCTACTTTTGGATTGCAGCCTATCATTTGAGGAACAGATTGGGTAGGGTCATTCATCAAGGTGAATGTCCCTTCCTTAAATCATTCAGCTATGACAACCATACTCTTGCCTGCCTTAGTCTCTTCATGGTCTCCTGTCACTTCTCATTTGAAAAAAATGAATAAGCTGGGCATGGTGGCACATGCCTGTAATCCCAGTGGCTCTGGAGGCTGAGGCAGGAGGATCACAAGTTCAAAGTCAGCCTCAGCAATTTAGGCTCTGAATAACTTAAGTGAGAGCCTGTCTCAAAAAAGGGCTGAGAAGGTGGCTCAGAGATTAAGCGTTCCTGGATTCAAACCCTAGTACCTACCCCCCAACCCCCCCAAAAAAAGTGAAAAATAAAAGCAAACTATTAAATAATTTTTAAGTGATATGTTTATGGTAAAAACATAAACAACAACATAAAAAGACGTTTTGTAGAATAAAAATTGCAAAAGTTACCCATAAACACAGGCCCCAGGAATATCAGCTGTCTTATGGACTTCCCCCTATTTTTCTTTTTTACATTCTCTTTGTATTTCAGCTAAAATTGGGGTCACAATTTATATGTTCTGCATCTTTCTCATTTAATATATGTTTTGGGTCATTTTTATTCTTAAATTGTGTTTCATCCCATGAATCAATAGTTACCAATTGATTCCTTGAATCACATTCAGTTTTTTTTATACTGTAAATAGAATAACTATAGATTGGGGAAGGGGGTACCAGGGATTGAATCCAGGGGCACTTAACCGCTGAGGCACATCCATAACCCCTTTTAAAGGAAAAAAAAAAGTTTTTATTTTGAGACAGGTTTTTGGTAAGTTGCTGAGGCTGGCTTGAACTTGAATCCTGCCTCAGCTTCCTGAGTTTCTAGGATTACAGGCATGTGCCACCATGCCCAGCTATCTATATGCATTTTACCCCCAACTTTTAAAAACAGCTTTAATAGGTGCATTCCAGGAAACAAGAAACACAAGCAAAGAATAAAGTCATCCAATTACAAACATTACTTGGACATGTTCCTTAGGTCATGTGTGTACACATGCAACATCATGTTTTGTGTGATTGAGGTCATAATGTGTATCATGCTTTTCCACACATCATGAATATTCATCAATTCAAAATCCCAAAGGTACATAGTATTTATAATAACTAATAGTATATTATACCACCTCAATCTTAGAAAACAATTGTAATCCTGTTTTTCTTATTTCTCTGAAGACAGAAATGGCAACAGAACTCCAGACAACATGTTGGCAGAGTTACAACTAAGATAATGTGTTCCCTTGATGCTCAATTTAAAATGAGTACACCAAGCATAGTGTTTCTAAGAGGATTCATTTTCTGAGTTCTACTACTAAAATATTAGCAAGAAAGCATGTTCCCAGTGAATTAAGTATTCCTGTAGTATAGCCAGAAGATGCACATGCCTCAAGACTCACATCAAAGGTAAATCTCTCCCTGTGTCTTCCTTCTGCCCTCTGCAGCAGCTAATGAACAAGTCTGATATGCCTGCCCAGAGATAAACAATTCCATTTCCAAGATGCATCTATCAGTTATAACAAAAAGATTTACCGGTTGGCTAATTCACTAGCTCTACTTTTTATTATACACTTCGGGACATCGAGAAAGCTTATTAAAGTACTTTACTAAAGTATTTTACTAAAAATGCACATGTAGATCTCTGGTCATAATCTAAAGTTTTCTTTCAGATACTGAGATAGTAGCAAAGAATACTTCCCTTCACCTTCCTCTTCTTTTTCCACCATTCCAGTGACTCAGTTCAGAACTCTAGAGGTGGATTAACAAAGGTCATTCCCAGAACACAGTTCTAAAAACCAACAAAAGGATTTTAATGCATGGGTTATTTTGCTACTTCTAAAAAACTTTGGGAATTATCTTTTAGTACCTCACAATATTAACTAAAATGCACATATAACAAGGGTGAGACAATCAACAAATCTAAGGGGCACAGAGTGCTTCTCTCTGCATACTTTCTCCTCCCACCCACCACCCAGGGAACTTTTCAACATACTCTCCAAGATGTCTTGTGAGCATTTCTTTCACTCAGCAAATATTTGTTGAGCACTTACCATGTGCCAGGTATTGTGTTAGGTGATATGTATACAGCATTGAATAAAACACATTTACAACTCCAAGGAGTTGTATAAGGATGATTCTGTTAAATAGAAATGCCTAGTCAATGCACATAGAATCTAACATTTAATAGGTGGCTGAATGTTCTCCAGAAAGGTGCCCTTTTAGTGGTGAACAACACTGTCTGTTTTCCACAACTATTAAAAATCTTCATTTCATTACATAATTGAGGCTGTCCATAAGAGCAAAGAAGTTCTCCTAGCTGGCCAGGAAAGGAGACTAGCTGTGGCTTTTATTGTGATGGTGTGAGCTAGATGAGTGTCCAACACACATGGGAATCTCTTGCCAGCAAAGAAGTTTGGGGCAGGTGCTGGGTCCTTGCACATGCCAGGCAAATGTTCTACCTTAAGCAACATCCCCAGCAACCCTTTATGTCTCCCCTCCACAAGTTGTCCCAAGAGAAGAAAGTGGGTGAGGCCCCCAAATTGCCTGTAGTTGAATAGAAAAAGTAGAGCCAGATTCCTTATTGCAGAAGATGTCTGGGGTGGTATCTGGGTCATCTTTGATGTCACTGGGACTCTTCATGGACTCTGATGAAACTTTTGCTCTTGAACCTCTTTCTTGTGCAGCAAGCTGATTCCCACTTTCTCACGGTATCCTGCTCCTAGCTGCAGACATATGCACACATTAACTTGCTTTTCTTCTTAGGAATGGTGGAGACGTGAACCAGAAACTGGCAGTATGTGGTCAGAGCTGTACCTTGCTCTGATGGTAAAGAACAGGTATATCTACCTTATCTGTATTCCATGACTCCCAGGAAGGTTTAACAAGTGAGATACAATCAAAGGAGAGATTTGGCAGAGGGGCCTAAAGTCTTGCCGCAAAACTCATCGCCACTGCTGCCAACACCTGGCCAGGGACAAGGACCTATGCATAGTTGGACTCTTTGGGCTGTTCCATGTTCTCTACCACTTGCAGACTTGGAAAAAATTTATTTTATAAACACTCTATTTGCCTCGTGGCAGGTCTTATTCACAAAGGGCTTCTCGGCCTGACTGAGCTCAATAGAAATTGTAAATATAACTAAGTAGAAAATAGACCTCAAAAAGTTGTGACTTGCCCAAGGTGGCAGTGCAAGGGCCAGGACTAGTATCCCCATTTTATCATTATGCTATTGTCCTTTCATTAGTTTCCCACTGATGGGACAGATCCTATCAAATGGTATTCAGTTTGATTTTATATTAAGGGTTTTAATTCTTAATGAGAATACTTTTTGTTGACAACAAGACATTAAAATGCCTAGGAAATAAGAGTCTTTCCGGAAACAATGCCATTTATTTACCTGAAATTGAACCCAGGAATGCTTTACCACTAAGCTCCATCCCCAGTCCTTTTGATTCTTTATTTTTGAGACAGGAACTCACTAAGTTTCTGAGGCTGACCTTTAACTTGGGATCCTCCTGACTCAGCCAGCCTCCAAGTTGCTGGGCTTACAGGTATGCACCATGACCATGCCTAGTTTCTGTGAGACTTTAATAGTGCTTTTGTATTCCTACGCCAATTATATCCCTCTATACTCCTTTTTCTTTTACAATCTGGGATTGTAAGTGGTGATGGTGAGATTGCTTTAGGTTTCCTCCCTACTGAAAACAGCTACAGAAGACAATTCCTTGCTGGATACAAAGTTATTGATAGCAGGGTGGTTTCACATTCTAGGGGCCAGGGCATCAACAGGAGCTCAAAAATGAATGGCCGACGCCTGTATGGGTGCAATATAGTTTAGTTTACACGTCCGAGGCAGTAGGCTCAGAGTGAACCTGTTATTCTGTACTCTCCATAAGGAAAGGACAATGCCAGTGTCCTTAGCTGTAGTACAGTGCTTGGCTCATAGTAGGCATTTGATTGTATTTGATGAATATGATTTTTAGGAATATTCATTTGATGAATGAATGAGTCAGGAAGTGATGAAGCACAACTTAGTCCAGCTCTTTAAGTCTTCCAGTCTCATGGTGAGACCCCACAATCTCCGCTAGTATGACTGGGACCTTGCGGAGGTCAGGACAGTACTCGCATTCTAACTTCAGGTCGGAGGAATAAAGCCTAAAGCTACGCTATAAAGAGCAAAGGTGGGCGGGGACCGAAGAGCTGCGCGCGCAACCACTCCGACTGCAGGTCAGGTGACTGCTTTTCCCTGGCAACGGCTTGTTCCTAGCAACCAGGAGGCGTCCGGGCGGAGCTGCCAAGGGAAGGCTCCTGCCATGAATCCGAGTCCGTCAGAGTCCATAGGGGTCCTGGATCAGACTGTGGAAGAACGCTTATCCACCCAAAATCTCGAGCCCTCTGTTAATTCTGATAACCCGCAGGAGCGGATCCAGGCCCGGCGCCTCCGCATCGCGGCGCGCCTGGAAGCCCGGAGACGGTGAGCTGGGTCTGGGCTGGTCTTGCCGCCGAGAGCGCAGGGTGCTGGTGCGCCGACCAGACCCAGTGCAGAAGCAGGGGTGGGAGTGTAATCTGAGTGTCAGGGGACCTCGTTCCTTGATGAGTTAGAAAACATACTCCCAGAAGGTTCAGGTGAGTATGGGGCATTAAAACACACAACACACTGTTGTCAAGTCGCAGCTAGAAACTGGGAGCCTGTTGTTTAAGGCAGTAGCACGGAGGATTCAGGGGTCTTCCTTTCCGCCCAGCTTTCCTTCCACAAGTGTTTACTGAGTAGACCTCAGCGATCACTCTGCCATCACTTCTGCTGGTCTCAATTGCTTTGAGAAGATGATGACTTCTCTTATCTGCTGGTCCTTGGACCCAAGGAGTCCAAAGTGGCGGCCAAAACCTGTAGTTCAGTTGGATGCTTGCTCTGTACCTTGGCAAGAGTATGCTTCTTTGGGGACCTGGACTTTGGATCTGCTAGACGCCAGAGTTGTGAAGACAGGAAGCTCAAAGTCCCTACTGAGTCATTAAGAATGATAAGCCGGGTCAGTTGGTTGCCAGACCCATGAGGACAGAATCACATGGAACTCTCTGACTCCCAGTGGTCACTGCATTTGGAGGCTGGGACTCCATTCTGGAGTGTGCCTTGTCTTTCAGCTGGTGCCATCCCCCTATCGGCAGGCTGGCTGATCTGGGATGGTAGGGTATATGATCTGGCAGCCAGTCATGGGCCCATTTCTGCTCCTCTTTTGCACATGAATGGAACCACCTGGCCTAATTATTTATTGTGTAAAAATCCGTGCCTGAGGATCAAGCCCTGCTCAAGCCTCTGGATAGCAGTGCTGGCTAAGGTGACTTTTTGTTCATACAAAATCCATGACTAATTGCAGCTCTTAAAGCTCTGCCCCTTGGGAAGACTTATCATCGATGTATTCCAAGACCATCCTGGAGCGAGGCTGTAATGCAGTTGCTGTCTTTTTTCAGCCTGAACCCACAAATCAAACCAAAAAAATCTATAAACTGAACTCGGGCTATTTCCACTTTTCTTCAACTGATATACACAAGTCTTTCTGAGCAGAGGGAGGAGAACTGGTGCAGCCATGGTAGATGATGTGGGGCTCTGGAAGACCTGTGCATGGAGCCACCGTGTGTCCTTTGGTCCTGCTCAGGATCTGTTTCAGATCTACTATTTCCATCTTAAAATAGCCTGCTCTTGGGTCTTCCAGTCTTCATGTTGTGTGGGATCTGTCATCGAGCTCATGATTTATAGTTACGGATGCCTGCTCACTTGGCATCCCTCCATCAATTGTTCACTCTCTATCAGTGCTCAGGAGCTTCCAGGAGCTGTTTTTAATACACACACACACACACACACACACACAAACACACTACAGAAGGCATGGCTTTACTATAGAATTCTCGGGACTGTGCCACTTGGGACTTGCCATAAATTCTATATGGCATCTTTTCTACCACTAATACCTCCAAACATAGGGGCTGCTGGATCCTCTGGCCCAGGTGGCCTGGCTGCTTGCACTATGGTCTGGACCTGCTGCAAAGCCTTTTCCTGTTCCTGGCACCATTCAAAGCTGGTAGCTTTTTGTGTCAGACTAAAAAGTATTCCTGAGTGTGAATTGTATTGCCACTAGGAACCCAAGGGACCTAATAGGAATCGAGTTTCCTTCTTTGTAGTAGAAGATAAAAGATGCAATATATATATTTTTAAATTTGGTGGGATATTCCAACATGCCACTGACCACTGGATTCCTAAAAACTTTAATGTTGATTCAGATCTCTGAATCTTCATGGGACTTTTCACCTACCTCTTTCTTTTTTTTTTCTTTTTTTTTTGGGGGGGGGTTTGAACTCAGGGGCACTGGACCACTGAGCCACATCCCCAGCTCTATTTTGTATTTTATTTAGAGACAGGGTCTCACTGAGTTGTTTAGCATCTCACTTTTTCTGAGCTGGCTTTGAACATGTGATCCTCCTGTCTCAGCCTCCCTAGCCACCGGGATTACAGGCATGCACCACCACGCCCGGCATCACCTACCTTCTTACCAGACCTGTGGTGTATTGCCATCTCTTGGTCACACTTTTTATGTAAAGGGCTAGATAGTCAGTATTTTAGGCTTCTGAGGTCATATGGTCTCTGTCCCAGTTGCTTAACTCAGGCATGGCTGTATTTCAACAAAATGTTATTTATGGACATTACAATTTGAACTCCATATAATGTTCATATATTACAAAATAGTCTTCTTTCTTCCTTTTTATGTGGTGCTGATGACCGAACACAGTACCTCACACATGCGAGGCAAGTGCTGTACCGCTGAGCCACAACCCCAGCCCCCCAAAATAGTCTTCTTTTTTTTTAAAATATTTATTTCTTAGTATTTGGCGGACACAACATCTTTGTTTGTATGTGGTGCTGAGGATCGAACCCCGGCCGCACACATGGCAGGCCAGCTCGCTACCGCTTGAGCCACATCCCCAGCCCTGGGGGTGGGTTTTGAACATATTAAGAAAGTTGGATTTTATAAGACATTAAAATTGAGAAGTTGGTTAGGCCATTAGATGTGGCTCTGGATTAGAGGTGTCAGCAGCATCGTGATTGTATTTAAAACCACAGGAATTAATTCAGCTACAGTGGGAATGGGGATTAAAGGAAGGAGAGGAGAGCTATAAAGCCCTAAGAAAGTCTGGCATTGCTGGGTGTGGTGGTGCACACCTGTAATTCCAGCAACTCAGAAGGCCGTGGCAGGTAGATCGCAAGTTCAAAGTCAGCCGTAGCAACTTATCGAGGCCCTAAGCAATTTAGCGAGACCTGGTCTCAAAAAGTTTAAAAAAAAAAAAAAAAGAGGATTGGGATGTCGCTCAGCCACAGAGAACCCCTGGGTTCAATCCCTGGCACCAAAAAACAAGCAAACAAATAAACTAACAAAAAATCCGAACAGCACTTAGTTGTTGACAGAAGAGGGCTGACAAAGGAGACTGGGGTGGGAGGTCCCATTGAGGCTGGTGGAAAGACAAGTGAGGTGTAACATGTACCTAACAAACCTAAAACGTGGAGTAGGTGATTCAAAAACACACACCACACACACAGATAATGACAATAGTCTGAAAAGAGAGGCCCACAGTGAACATTTTCTCTTACTGAAGTTTTTTTTTTCTTTGTTTTTTTTTTTTTTTTTTTTCGCAGCACTTATGGATTGAACCCAGGGAGGCTCTATCTTGAACTTTATATATATATAACCAAACCAGTAAAAATTTAAAAAATGAAAATGAAATTTACAGTAAAGAATGAGAAAGAAGTAATGGATTAATACTTTTTAATTACATTAATGTGCTTAAGGGTGGGGAAGGATATAATCATATGAAGGAATGTTTCCAAAAGAATGGATTTTTAAGCTGTAGAAAACAAGTTGCACACAGAATGACAGAATTGAAGTGATTCTGATTTTGTTTCTTTGCCTTTGCAATGATTGTGCTCTTTCTGGCTGTCAAATCCTATTCTGCACAGACAATGGTAACCAAGTGGTTGGGGACAGGCACTTCTGAACCATTTCAAATGTGCTCTGAGTGTGCATGTGCCTTAATTCTCTGAATTAAGGTCCTTATTAAGAAATTAAAATGTACTACAGTGTGGCCTACACATATAATATTAAACCCAACAGTATCTACATCAATCATTTCAAACTTAGCGTAACAGAAGATTTTCAGAAAGTACTATTTTATCACTGGCATTGTTTTGAATTGCTAATGCATGGTGATAATTTTAGTCAGTTGTATTATTTCAAAATTATCCATAGCCAGTGACTCCTTGATTGATTGTGGTGTCCCCTGCTGTAGCTGCCTAGACTTTGTTAGGTCACGGATGTATAGTTTTAAGAAGAAAACTGTTAAAATAATCAAATGTCATATGCAGATAAAGAATAGGAATAATATGCTAAAGTCCTTGAAACTCCCAATCTCTGGGCCTCAGTTGAAGCTTAGAATTCCTGGGAGATGTCATTTCTGTGTAAATATGGCAGATGGAATATATACATCCATAGTGAAGAGAGATCAAACCTCCATTAAGCTGGGTACAGTGGGGCAGGCCTGTAATCCCAGTGACTTGGGAGGCTGAGGCAGGAGGATCCCAAGCCTGAGGCCAGCCTCTGCAACTTAGCAAGACCCTATCTCAAAATACAATAAAAAGGGCTGGGGATGTAGCTCAGTGGTAGAGCACCCCTAAGTTCAATCCTCAGTACTACCACCACCCCAACAAATGCTCCATTAAAATGACACTTAATGGAATTAGGTAAAAAAGACATAAACCCACAAAGTCAAGAACAGAAGACTCAACAGTAACAAAATTTTGGAAGCTAGGAAGCATAAGAATAGGTGGAAAGTGGCCTTGAAGAATCAAGAATATGGAACTATAAGCTGGTCATGAAGAAAGCTGAGAACCCCCTTGGTTTACTTTGTAGTAAGTCTTCCAAAGACTAAGAAATTGGTGGCATCAAATTCATCTGGAAGTGGGGGTGAGAGCACAAAGGAATTGATTGGCAACAGCTCAAGTAGATCATCTGGTGCTGAACCTGTTAAGGTGCCCCTTTCCTTCAGAGTACCTATAGGTGGCCGCCGCCGCCGCCCCCTCCCCCTCCCCCCTCCCCTCCCCCCTCCCCTCCCCCTCCCCCCTCCCCTCCCCCTCCCCTCCCCCCTCCCCCTCCCCTCCCCCTCCCCTCCCCCTCCCCCCTCCCCCCCCCCTCCCCCCTCCCCTCCCCTCCCCCTCCCTCCCCTCCCCCTCCCCCTCCCCTCCCCCTCCCCTCCCCTCCCCTCCCCCCTCCCCTCCCCCTCCCCTCCCCTCCCCCTCCCCCCCCCCTCCCCTCCCCCTCCCCTCCCCCTTCCCCCTCCCCTCCCCCCTCCCCCTCCTCCTCCAAATTGGTATTTTTTTCACAGTACTAAAATTCTTTTTTTCTGCTTTATTCAGCCTTCATATTACAAGGGTCCAAATGATGGAGGATTTAGGTTGAAATTGTACTAAATTGTCTTTGTTTTCTCTAAACTTTGGGGTTCTGTATAAGTGAGGTAATTTTGTACATATAACTAACATAAAACTATCCTTTAGGCAGTTTTTTTTTAAAGAAAAAACAACTCTTTTTTTGGCAATAATAAGGCAATTACTGTAAAGAGAGTGATATATTAAATTGGTGGTATTAATGTCCTTTTCATAAATGAAAGTTACTATTATAATTGTAGCTTTAGATATTTGGTATACTTCAAGATGTGCAAGAAAATGGAGAACATTTTGGAAAATAATAGCAACAAATACATTCAGCAACAGGTAGGTTAATAAGATTCAAGTTTTAAAATTACATCATGTAAGCAACAACAGCTTTATTTAAAAATAGCTTGTAAGCATTATTTTGCCTTTGTGTAGCCTATTCTTTTTAATTTTTTCATATGAAACTATTTATTTTTACTGTGTGTGTGTGTGTGTGTGTGCGCGCGCGCGTGTGTGTGTGTGTATGGTGTGTTGTTTGCAGCATCAGGGATTGAACTCGAGTCCTCAGCCATGCTAGGCAAGTGCTCTACCATTTAGCTACATTCCCAGTCCCCTTTACAGTGTTTTAATTTATTTTGATTTTTTCATTTAGAGTCTTATCATGAGGAGGTAACCAAGATAACTGAAGAAAATCTTTAACATAAAAGGTAGATATCAAAATGCAAGACAAATAAACAAAAGCCCCTGAGAAGAACTTAGGACTATTTTAGGAAGGAAAAAAATAATAGTACCACAAAAAGACTATCTTTAAAATTCCCATAGAAAAAGGAGATTATATGGCAATCATGAAACAAGACTAGTTTGCTACTAAAAAGGAGTATTCAGAGAACACTTCTTGGAAATTAAAAAATGAAAAATAGAAGTTGGAAAATAAAGGTGATGAAATTGCCTAAAGGATAGAGCAAAAAGAAAGAAAAAGATAAAAACTAGTGAAGAAAAAGATTTTTTTTTTTAAGTGGAGGATAGTCCAGGAGATCTAGTGTCTATTTTGAGAAGGAAAGAACAGTAAACAGAGGGAAGGACATTGTCACAGAAAGAATTCAAGACATTTTTCAGAGCTGTAGATCAGAGTTTCCTGAGAGAGGGACTGAGTGACAACTTGTAGCACAGTGGGTGAAAATAGACCCGCCCTAGGGGCTGGGGATGCAGCTCCGTGGCAGAGCATAGGTTTAGTGTGCATGAGGTCCTGGGTTCAATTTCCCAGAACCAAAAACCAAAAATATCCCAAAACTCACACAAACAATTATAACTGACAAGAAAATAGACCTACTCTGAGGATACACCATTGAGAAAGCTCAGAACACTGAGAACAGAGAGAAGAGTCTACTGACTTCCAAAGTGGGAACCAAAACAACCATAACAACAACAACAACAACAACAAAAAAAAAATGAAAAAAATTGGTCACAAAAGGAGTAAGAGACAGAATTACTTCAGTTTCTTGAATAACTGCTGGAAGCAAATATAACTGAAAACAGGAGCAGAGGTCAACGGACCAGCAACGGTCTTTACTAAGCAGCAGTGAAGTGGCACATTTTCAGGGGAGAAAATGGCAACTGGTTACAAGAGGGGTCTGTGTGTTATAGGTCTTACTGAGACTTCACCGTAGCAGAATGTGCAGTGTGGTTTAATCATTGGAGACTGAGGACGGGCCGGCTGGACAGTTAGGAAGCTAGTTGTGCAGATTTAAAAAATCTTACTCAGGAAAACAGTTGTAAAAGCTTGAAACTCGTTGTTACTGGGATGGAAGCCCAGAGCCCCTCTGGGATCACACTGTCATCCTTTTCTCTCTGGGGGCTGTCATTTCCCTTTTCTTGGAGGATGTTATTTTCCATATCCTTCTGCTACACTGGGGGAAAACAACAACAAACACGGAAGGAATATGATTTCCCACCTAGGACTCTCAACCCAGACGAATAATCAATCCAATTCCAATTTTTAGAATTTTGAGAAGGGACTTTGATGAGGAAGTGGGATATTCAAGATGGAAGTTCCTGCCCATGTGGCTGTGGTGAGGAATCAGCTTCCCCATAGAGGATTAAGTAAGTCCTCAGGAGGAGCCCAAGTCTGAGAGCAAAGTCTGCGACAGCTGCTTTAGGGAATAGGCTAGGTCAGTGCTGAACAGTGGAAAGGCAATATTAGCCACATGTGTGATTTTAACTTTTCTAGTAGCTACATTTAAAAAAAAGTAAAAAACAACAGGTGAATTTAAGTTTCCTAGTTTGTTTTATTTCACCTAATACATAAAAATATTATAATTTCAGCATGCAATCAGTATAAACCATATTAGTGAGATATATTGCATTTTTTAATTCAAAGTCCTCAAATCCATCTGGTGTGTATTTTATACTCGTGGCCCGCCCACTTAAAGTGCTTGCTAGTCACATGTGATTAATGGCCACTCTACTGGGTTGCATAATGCTAAGCAGATAAAAGATGAATAAAAGACAGCGATGGGATTTATGTTAAAACTAGATAAGAATTTGTAGCTACTCTGGACTGTATAGTTCTTTTTCTTTTTGAAGCACTGCTCTTTGCTCCAGGAAGTAGCTAAAAGGGATTATTTAGATAGAGTTGGTAATTAATTTTAATTAGTGGCCAAAGTAGAAAGACAAGTGCATTTTGGGGGCGGGGAGATAAGAACACTGTTGGTCTAAAGGCATTATTAGTAGGATGGAGCAAATAGTGTTGTAAGAACAAAGAGAAGGTTCAAGAGGATGGGGAAAGTGACTGAAATAACAGAGAAAAAGGGTTTCAGTTAGATTGGGAGTGGGGGATGGTAACTCTGGTATAACACTGTGTAGGCCGTGCTGGACTTTGAACAATGTGGGTGGAAATGGATGTCAGTGTTAGAAAAGGTCAAGGAAGAATGAGATAAAGGGACACACTTGTTTCACAATGAATATTGGAATCATAAAATGATGGTTTCATTTTCCCTGAGACAGTACGAGGAACCCTCATATTTTCATGTTCTTACTGGCATAATTAGTAATAATTCTTGTGTATATTTCTTTATGTACTTGTGTAAGAGATTTCTGAGAAAATTCTTCAGGTGGAGTTGTTGGGTCAGAGGGAAGACACACATTTTTTAATATGTCTTGCCAAGTTGCCTTTTGGACAGATTGTTCCATGTTTAAATGGTGTGTAAATAATTGTGTAACACTGGCTGCCCCTTTGCAAGTTGTTCTTTGACTTCCTCTCCCTTTGCCCAGTGTTCTAAATTCTAAAGAAAAGCAGAACCTGAATGATTAAGATGTAAACTGATAATCTTTCTTTAGATTTCCAGAACCCAGAACATCTGGTGAACCCAGAACATCAGAATGTATAACACCTCTTATTTTAAAATTCTGTATATCAACTAACACAAAGCATGTAAAAATAGCTGTGATATTTAACTTGCAGAAAAGTCATAAGTTTGTCTAAAGAATTATAGGAACTATCCCCAGAAGGTCAAGGTCAATTTATATGTTCTGGCCAAAGTGGGAACCAAAAACAACCACAACAGAAAAACAAATGGGGTGGTGGTGGGGTGGGGTGGTGGTGCAGGGAGAAGAGGAGATACAGGACACATACCCTGGATGATAAAGACCCCTCCTGACATGAAGTCTATTGCCCTTGTACCTCCTTTTCCTCCTTATAAGAACCCTTTTACATACCTGAGTTCCTTAAGATGGTCCTTTCTTTTTCTTTTTTCCTTGAGGAGGATAATGGTATTACCCTGATTTCCTTCTCACCTCCCAAGTATTGGCTTTTGAGTGGTGAGCAGATGGACCTGGGTCCATTAATGTTGGGCAACCACATTCTTGGGCCATACCTGATATCATCTGTCTTTAAAATAGTTTCTAGTCTGATAGAGAAGTAGTGATTCCTCAAAGGGCTTCAGGTTCTCTGATTATATGTGAAACTGATATTTTCAAATGTCTGTTTGCCATTTGTATTTCACCTGTAAATTGCCTGTTCGTATCCTCTGCTAATTTTTCTTTTTTGGTATTTTGTCTTTTTTGTATTGATTTGAAGGGCCTTCCTTCCTTCCTTCCTTCCTTCCTGGGAATCAAACACAGGGCCTTGTGCATGCTACCTAGGAGTTCTATCACTGATTTCCAACACCTGCCCCAAATTAAATTTACTCTCTCCCTTACTTTATCCTTTCCTTCCTTCTTCCCTCCCTCCCTCCTTTCCTCTCCTCCTCCTCCTTCTTTTTTAAGATGATGCTGGAGATTGAACTCAGGGCCTTTCTATTTTATAGATGGTAAAATTTTGTCAAATATCTTTTACCAAATTATCCCTTAAGAATATGATTTTTAAATTTTAGAAAGTAAAAAAATTATTTAATCTTTTTTTCTCCCTGATTTTGGTTTCATTCAAAGATGGGCTCTCCTTGCTAATAATATACAAACAGTCTCCTATATTTACTTCTAGGGTTTTTATGATTGTGTTTTTTTTACTATTTAAATTTTTATCCAAACAGAATGTATTTTTTGCATGTGGTGTGAAGTACTATGGAACTTTTAAATATAGAATTTAAGTAGTAGAAATAACTTCAGTTTCTCTGCTTTTTTTGGTCACAGGGAGGCGCTTGGAGAGTATATAGATGGGAAGAAGGAGAGTGAGGAAGATCAAAGCAAGAGTTACAAACAGAAAGAAGAAAGCAGATTGGTATGAACTGATGGTAAATGGGTCCTGTTAGTGCCAGAAGAGCGGAGGGCTGTGGTGACAGTGTGTTTCCGTGTTTAACCGGGTGGGGCGGGGGGAATCACATGTTCCATGTTGCTGTCTCTAGGCAGAGCTGCATCGGAGTCATTCCCATTTGGGAGCTCTCTTGATGTTGAGGACCTCAGCTCCTTCTGCCATTCCTTAGGTTGCCTCCATTTGCTCATGACATCATACTTTAGCCCCATATTCCAGCTCGGAGAGGGAAAAAGACAGCAGCAGAAGGTACACCTTTTCCCTTAAGGCACAATTCAGAAGTGGCACATACAACTTTTGCACATATTATCATTGATCAGACCATGTTCTAGCTGCAAGTGAGTCTGGGAAATGTATATTTTGGGAGGTCACATGCCCAGCAAAAATTTGAGCATTCTCTTACTCAAAGAAGAGGGGGAAATGCACTTTAGAGGACAACTACCATTATCTGTCTCGCCTCCTCATCTGAGATTCTTAGAAAGGACCCTGGCAGGGTCAGTGGCTTGGAGATCTGTTGGGAAAAGTGCTGAGATGTACCTATAGTACATGCCCAGAGCATTGGTTGGCTGATCCATACTATGAAGAGAATGAAGTACATTGAGAACTATAGCATTAGTGTTGTAAGCTATAATGTTAGGTCACAAATGTCCTGATGGAAAAGGGTTGCTAAATAGATGGTACCTTTCAAACTCTTGAGGTAGCTGCTGGTTCCTGCTGGAATGGATGGAAGAACTATAGATATTTGTGCAAAATGTTTCTAATTTTCTAAATTATATATATATATATATATATATATATATATATATATATATATATTTTTTTTTTTTTTTTTTTTTTTTTCAGTGCCAGTGATGGAACCCAGGGCTTCACTCCTGTTAGTCAAATGCTGTACCACTAAGCTACATCCATGGCCCTAACCTTCTAAATTCTTTACAAAATGTTCTAACTTTATAAATTCCTATGTCGGTTTTCAGAAATTGTCTAAACTGCTGCTCAGTGGCACTGAATTGGTGACAAATATCCAGGTGGCTGCAGATATCAGAGAGATCCACAGGAGAGTTGAAGAAGAGGAGATAAAGCGCCAGAGGTAGGGAGCCCACTGCTCTGCAGCCTGGTGGATGTGACGATGGTCTCTTTGTGGTTCCCTATTTTCCTCTGAATCATTGGAAAGAGAGGTTGGTTGTCCAGCTTAATAGAATCCCCTTCTTGCCTCTTATGAGTCCCCCTTCCTTTTTCTTTTCCTCCCTCCCTGTCTCTCCCTTCCTCTCTGCCTTCTCCCTCCCTTTCTTTCTTTTTAATATTTATTTTTAGTTATAATTTTAGTTATAGGTGGGCACAATATCTTTATTTTATTATTATGTGGTGCTGAAGATGGAACCCAGTGCCTCACGCATGCTAAGCGAGCGCTCTACCAGATGGCCCCAGCTCGTCTTTCTTTATTTTATTTATTTATTTATTTTTAAATATTTATTTTTTAGTTGGACACAATACCTTTATTTATTTATTTTTATGTGGTCTGAGGATCGAACCCAGGGCCTCGCATGTGCTAGGCAAGTGCTCTACCGCTGAGCCACAGTCCCAGCTCCCTCACTCCCTTTCTTAAGCATTACATTACTGATGTGTGCCAAGCTGTGTGGTTACAAGAGGACCGAAATATGGCCCCTGCTTATGATTGACATGGGAACACCCAACCAGAATTTGTTCTAAATTAAAGGTATGTGCAAAGAGTTATGCAAAGACACATGAGGAGGGCTTTGGATGTCTCTGTAGAGATAGAGGAATTTCCAAGGTAGGGCGACTTTTGGGTTGGGCTGTAAGGGATGAATAGGAGTTTGAGGAATTGAGGTATAGGCGTTTAGGCAGAGGGAACACTTGAGCAGAGGCATAAGGTCACACAATGTGCTTGGGAATGTCATGATAGCCGAGACTGGATGAGGGTAATAGAGAAAAAGAGATGAGGCTGAACATATTGACTGGTCAGTGCTGGGTTTCAGTTGATCAGAATGGCCAGATCCATAAACATCTTGGCTCTACGCTTAGGAACAGAGGGACAAAAGGCACCCATGTCTACCCTTCAGCCTCAAGGGTTATTGATAGTCAGGTTGCTTTGCACACCTATCTTTAAATCTCAGGTTGCCCGAGAGGAGGTGAAGCTACTTAGAATGGTTGTACTTCCTTAGTTTGAACACAGAAGTGGACTGACAGTTGGAACAGAGGTCCTCATTTAACCTCCTACTTTGGATTGTTCTTTAATTAGCTTCCTAAATGCAGTTCCATTACAAGAGCAACCACTTGACCATTTTAGCTCATCTCAACATATACATACACCATTTTTATTTGCTCAGCATAGGTAGTCCCCACATTAGCAACATTTCCAGCTCTACCATATATTGGTGACTTTATTCTTGAAACATCCCACTGCCTGTATGGGCAGTACCAGAAACTGAGTTGGCTGGTCACTAGCAGGGTCAACTTATAAAATACCTTGTGTGTTATGCTAAGGAGTTAGGCTATCCTATGGCTACTGAGGGAAAAATGGAAGGCTTATAAGCTGATTACAAGATCAGTGTGTTTTGGAAAGATGACTGACAGATGTTTGCCCATTTCTTGAGATAATGAAATCAATAAAATTGTGACATATACTATGTGCCCTAGCTTGGAAGCGGGCTGAGATGCAAAACAGAGAGAGAGGGGATCACAGGATGTTTCAAGTTGTGACTCCTGTCCAGAGTGATTTGTGTTCTTGTTTGGAGACACTCATACACCTTTAGTCTGTTTAGATTAGGAGCAAGTCGCAGGCCAGTGTCCTCTAACACCTTCCTTCTTATCCTGTCCTCAGTGTGCTCCATCACAGGGTTTCTTTGGAATTTCTGGAAAGATTTCCCTATTTTCCATTAGTAGTGGCAGAATTTTCTTGTACATTTCACTAGTCATTTACTGGGAAAGGAGTGGCCAGACACTTAGGTCATAATGAAAAATGATAACTTAATTCCCATTTGTTTAGTGATCACCTGTGCTATGTGTCATTTTATTTAATCTCAACAACAGCCATATTGAGGTGGATATTTTCATCATTTCCATTTTACGAATGAGGAAAGTGCGGCAATTAATGTAAGGTTGAGTCAGTTAGTAGGGAGGTCAGGACTTGAACACAAACTGTGTGTCAGAACTATCTGGTATCATATCTTACTAAAATGTATGTGACCAGTTGACTCTTCCCATATATTTGTGTTATGTTTGTGGTGTGTGTGTGTGTGTGTGTGTGTGTGTAGTCTTGGGTGGATCTGTTTTTGTTACATGTCATCAGATCATTTACTTGATCTAAGTTACCATTGAGCATTAAATTTAAATACTTCCTGGGTTTGGTTTGGTTCTGGTGGGCAAGTCTGAGGGCTGTGCCTTGTGCCTGGGCCCTGTATTATAGACTCCAGAGAACCTGTGTGCACTATTGGAAGGCAGCACCTGAGGCTGGTGGCATGTTTGTATTTGTAGACTTGAGAAGCTGGAGAATGAAGTTAAGAACAGCCAGGACAAATTTGATGAAATCACCACCAAGTGGGAGGAGGGCAAGCGGAAGCGCATTCCCAAGGACCTGTGGGAGATACTCAACACTCAGCAGCTACACTGTGCAGAGCTGATAGAGGACAAGAACAAGCTTATCAATGAATTGCAGCAGGCAAGTAGCGGCCACCTCCTGGCCCAGGGGGATCTGGCTGGGGGATTCGCATAGGTCATTGTTCTGCCGTTCCTCAATAGATAAAAGCAAAGGCCTTATTTTACTACTTTGAATGCTGCACAAATCAAGTGACAGTTTCCCCCATATTTTCTTTATTTTTTAATGATATTAACCAAATACCATTAAATTTCACCTTCTTAACTCTTTTTCAGTGTCTGGTTTGGTAGTGTTCATATGTCCATACCATTGACAATCTCCAGACTGTTTTCGTCTTATAATGCTGAAACTCTGTACCCATTAGATTTTAATTCCCTCCCTCTCCTCCCCAGTCCTTGGTAGTTCCCTTTCTAGTTTCTGTTTCTGTGATTTTGGCTACTTCAAGTGGTAGTTTCATATGAATGGAATCAATGGTATATATCTTTTTGTGACTGGCTTATTTTGCTTAGCATAATAATCTTGGGGTTCCTCTATGCTGAACCATGTGACAGAATTTCTTTCTTTTTTTAAAGTCTGCATTATATATATAAAATCTGAGATACAATCAAAAAGAAAAATTTAGGAATCATTGGGCCAGATGAAGGCTCTAAAATACAAGCTTAGGGAATGCACAATTTTTCAATGAAATAGTATCAGAAAAATTTTCAAACCTTATGAATGTGATGGAAATTAAAAAAAAACCAGGCATCTAGGACTCAAAAGATACAAAATCACAATAGATCTTCTCCCAGACATATTATAATGGCATTACCTAATACATAGAATAAGAATAGAATTTTAAAAACTGCAAGAGAAAAATGATTGGTCACATTTAGAGGAAAACCAATCTGGATTTTATGTGATTTCTCAACACATAACCTAATAGCCAAAAATGATTGGAATAATATATAAAAGCTCTGAAAGAAAATGGATGCCAACCAAGATATATTATACCCAGCCAAATTAAGCTTCAGAATTGAAAATGAAATAAAACCTTAATGGTAAAAACCAAATACCATTAAATTTGACCACCTTAATCCTTTTTCAGTATATTCATATCTATCTATCTGTCTATCTATCTATCTATCTTTTGGTATTTGTGAATACCTTTTGGCCATTGTGAATAATATTGCTATTAACCTGGGTGTACACATATCTCTTTGATATTCTGCTTTAAATTTCTTTGGATTTATACCTAGAAGTGGGATTGCTGGATCATTTGGTAGTTCTATTCTTAATATTAGTTTATTTATTTAGGTATCAGGGATTGAACCCAGAGGCACTTAGCCATTGAAGCCCATTCCCAGCCCTTTTTGTATTTTATTTTGAGACAGCGTCTTGCTAAGTTGCTTAGAGCCTCGCTAAATTGCTGAAGCTGGCTTTGAACTTGTGTTCCTCCTGCCTCCCAAGCTCCTGGGATTACAGGTGTGGGCCACTGTGCCTGGCTGTATTTTTAATATTTAAAGATGTCTTTTTACAGTTTTCCATGATGACTGCACAATTGACATTCCCACCAACAGCACATGGGGTTCCCGCTTCTCTGCATCCTTGCCAATACTTATTATATCATGTTGCTTAGATAGTGGCTATATTGATGGGTGAGAGGTGATAGCTCATGATGGTTAGCATTTCACCAGTGATTAGAGATATTGAGCATCTTTTTCAATTTTTGGCCATTTGCATATCTTCTTTGGAGAAATGTCTATTTAAATCCTTTGCCTAATTTTTAATTGTTTTTTTCTTTTACTGAATTGAAGTTCCATGATTTTCCATTATGTTCTCCAATTCTGTAAGTTTCCTTTTTACTCTATTGATTGCTTCTTTTGAAACACAGAAGGTTTTTGGTTTGGAATAGTCCCATTTGTCTAATTTTTATTTTGTTCCCTGTACTTTTGATGTCATATTCAGGAAATCATTGCAAATCCAATGTCCTGAAGCTTTTCCTCTGTTTTCTTTTATGAGTTTAATAGTCTTAGGTCTTATATTTGGATTTTAAATCCATTTTGAGTTAATTTTTATATATGGTATAAGGTAAGGGTTCAATTTCTTTCTTTCTTTTCTTTTTTTGCTGTGAATAGCCAGTATCATAACATTTGTTGAAGGGGCTATTTTTTCTTCCAATTGTGTAGATTTCTTGAAAACAATTTTGCCACATATGCAGGGTTTATTTCTATGCTCTATATTCTGTTCCATTGGTCTGTATGTCTTTCTTTATGTCAGTACCACATTATTTTACTATTGCTCTGTAGAACATTTTAAAATCAGAGAATATGTGATCTCCAATTTTGTACTTTTTAAAGATTGTTTTATCAGAGTTTAAGTCTTTCACCCCCATAATTAAGCTTATTCCTAAGCATTGCATTATTTTTGATATGCATTAAGTGGGCTTTATTTCTTCCTTTTGGATTATTTATTATTAATGTATAGGAATGTGGTTGATTTTTACTTTATATTTTTACACAGGCACATCCACATAGGCATTTGTATACCCTTAGGTATTGTAATACATAACAATGTGTCTGATTTTTGAGGGTTGATTTTGTTCTGCAACTTTGCTAAATTTATTAGTACCAACAGGTTTTTAAAAATCTTTAGGTTGTCTACATATCAGATCATGTTGTCAACTGTGAATAGATATCATTTCAATTCTTTTTTTCCAATTTGGGTGCCTTTTCAAGTGATTAACCTTTTTTGTTTTTTAATATTTTTAATTGTAGATGGACTCAATACCTTTATTTTATTTATGTTTATGTGGTGCTGAGGATCAAAGCCAGTACCTCACATGTGCTAGGCGAGTGCTCTACCACTGAGCTACAACCCCAGCCCAAGTGATTAACTTTTTTAAAAAATATATTTTTAGTTGTAGATATACATAATACCTTTATTTTACTTACTTATTTTTGTGTGGTGCTGAGGATTGGACCTAGTGCCTCCTACACGAAAGACAAGCACTCCACCACTGAGCTACAACCCTAGCCCTCAAGTGATAAACTTTTAACCAGAGGAAAAAGTTTGTAGTGATTTTAGATTTTTTGGCTGGTAGAAAGATGTACTTCTGTAGCAACTGCTGTTTCAAGTTTTATGTTCTTCATTAAGAATGGAACTTACTCTGCAGTAGATATATTCCTGTGTTGGAACTGGGACATTAATTACTTAGCTGGGACACTAGCCTTTCTTATATTCCCACATTGGAACTGGGACATTAATTACTTAGCTGGGACACTAGGCTTTCAGGGAGCTTGTAGGCAGATTTGCGGCAAGTGATAATCAAGGGGTTTGATCCTGGGTTCCTGTGGCGTTGCCCTGAGCTGAGCTGTGCTGTTTCCTAGGCCTTCAAAGGTTCTTCTGAAGCTATTTTTCTTATGGTTTTAATTATGGTGTTTACAGATTAGGATGAGAGGGGACCAACGGGCATGTGCTAGGCACCTCTTGCTCAGTCTCAGTTTGTGACCCACCTTCTACACACTGTCTTCAAGGAATTAAAAGTAAAGGATGACCAGTATGTGAAGGACTTGAAGAAACAGTCAGATGACATCAGTCTGCTTTTGGAGAGGATGGAAGAACAGGTGAAGGACGTAATGAAGTCCTTTCGTCAGGAGCTCTCTGTCATTGAGGTGAGGGGTGTGAGAGGGGCTGCTTTCTGCACTTGGGAGACCCTGCATAGAGCTGGGTCTGTCTTAATGGTCTAAGGAGGGCCCTGGGTGTGTCTGTCCTCTGATTTCTGGATTTCCTTAGTTTATTTGCTCTTTCATTCACTCCTTCATGTAATCATCGAGTGTCTACTGTATGTCAGGTACTCTTCCAGGGGCAGGGGATCAGCCACAAACAAAACAAGTCCCTGGTGGGGCCTGCATTCTACTAGGATATAGCCTGAAGTCCACAAATTACTACATTTATAACTTGATAGATGGTTATAAATGTGACACAAAATAAAATATGACAGGGATGAGGAATGAGGGGGAAGGTTAGTACGCCATAACCATCGACCTACATGAGCCATTTATTTATTTATGACAGTTGGGTGGGGGATGGGGAAAGGGAGTGCCCAATAGGATTCAGGAAGTGACACCTTGAATTTGAATGGACTGAGATGGAGACTTAGATCTTGCCAAGATGGAAGAGAGTCAAGAGGGTGGGGCTTGTGGGTTTTTCAGACCTGCTTCTGCATTCCCAGGCCTTTGTGGGCTGCGTGCTGCCTTTGCTTCACGGAGCCCAGCTGTGGCAATGCGCCAGTCCTGGTCAAGGTTGAATTATAGTCAGAGTTTGCCCAGGATGGACAACCAGAGCCCTGGCTATCCTCCAGTGCCCTGCTCCTGATAAATGACTAAGCTGTGACAATGTTGGTGCATCTCTTCTCTAAATTCATGTGAAATGTAGAATAATTAATGCCCAATTTCCATGCAACTCTTTCTGTTGCCATTTGGCCATGTGAAATGTGGCAAATCTGCATTTGGATAAGACTTCATTTATGTGGTTGGTGACATGGCACTTGTGCAGTCATCTAAAAGCTTATTCTGGTGTGACCTGTCTCACTGAAGCAGATACAAGGACCCTTTCCTTCCCCTCCTGGTTGTAGAAAGCCTTTGAGTTGGAACGACAAGAGCTGCTGACCAGTAATAGGAAGAAGTGGGAGCGGGCACTGCAGACCCACAACTCCAAAGAGGTAAAGGGGTGGCAGGTGGGTGGGAGAATGTCAAGGGCAATCCATGGAGTCTGGTGTGATTTCGACTATGACAGAATTGCTAGCCTTTAGTATCTTGGCAGGATTGCCATGGTGTGCATTCATTTCTGCACTTCATGGTTAAGCAGCCTGGCTTTGTAGGTGGGGCTGTCTCTTGTGTGGGCGAATACCACCTTACAGCTTGCTGTGGTTTCCACAGCCCTGTCACTTCCTCCTTGGGTATCTACCCCAGCCATGGATATATGTGACCCAAAAAGGTGTTTTAAGACACATTTTAAAAGGGCATGGGATTATCACTTTATTTCAGAGATGTAAAGAACAATGAAGTGTCTTGACCAAGACCTAGGGGATGTTTTAGAAATATAAACATCTGACAATGATTGTTATTTAATCTCTTGGTGGAGTATTCCTCTTGGAGCTTCTGGAGAAGGGTCTCATAAAGCATGACAACCATGGATCTAAGAGTTAAAGCCTTGGGGCCTTAGGGTTTCTGAACCAGCAGACTTCCCTAGCCGTGGAACTTCCACACCGTCCGCTGTGCAGGCTTGAGTTGGGGCAAAGAGGGTTCCTAACTTTCTCCTCATATCCTTGTGCCTTTAGCTAGAGTATCTCATCAACCGCATTAAGAGAGTGGAGGACTACGAGAAGCAGCTGAACAAGCAGCGGATCTGGGACTGTGAAGAGTACAACATAATCAAGATCAAGCTGGAGCAGGATGTGCAGGTACGGCAGCTCGCCTCGCCAGCAGGCTCAGCGGTACAGATGTTGAGTGCCTGTGAGTGTCTCATCTTCAGCAACTTCCACAGTGTTCCAGAGGCAGCCCAGGCACCAAATATTTATTAATTATCTGCTTTATTTTAAATGATCATGTCCAAAGTTGCTCATGGCCAGGATATATGTGGAAGAACATTGCCTTCTCCCTTCTTTCTTTTCTTCCTTCCTTCTTTCCCCCTCCCTCCCTCCCTCCCTCCCTCCCTCCCTTCCTTCCTTCCTTCCTTCCTTCCTCCCAGGGCTGGGGATCAAACTTGTTTGATCCAGGGCCTTGTTCTTGCTAGGCAAGAACAAGGAAGAAGTGGGATCGGGCACTGCAGACCCACAACTCCAAAGAGGTAAAGGGGTGGCAGGTGGGTGGGAGAATGTTAAGGGCAACCCATGGAGTTGCTCTACCACCAAGTTACAACCCCCCAGCCCAGAGGAACATTTTTTAGAAGAAACCAGGGGAGAACTGCCAAGATGCTACCAGGGTCTGGAAACATGGCACGTGAGGAAGCACTGAGAATTGTGCATTTGAGCCTGGGAAAGGGAAGGAGTCCCTGGGGGAAGTCAGCTGTGTAGAAGGCCAAAGCCTATTGCTCCTGATACCAAAACTGTCTAATGGTGTCTCCCCCACTCAAGGCACTTAATGCATAGTATTGATTTCTTAGTGGAGCATTCCTCTTGGAGTTTATGGAGTTAGAGTCTCATAAAGTATTATAATCCTGCATCTAAGAGCCTTGGGGCTTCGGGGCTTCTGAAAACCACCTCATGATAATGCAAAAGGAGAAACCACTAATAACATTTTATACGTGGGGAAACTGAGCTCAGAGACAAGTGTTCATAACTAGTACATGGTAATTCATACCCATTTATTTCCTTCCCATCATGCCACAAAGCCTGTGACTGATATTAAAAATGACAGTAAAGCAAATTCTGACTCTTCAGAAAGAACCTTCTAACAGAACTATCCAATATGGAAAAGGGTATTCTATAAGACAGGATCCTTTTTCTCATTATGTATTCTCAGGCCAAATGACCATATCTGTCTTCAGTGCTGAAGAAGAATTCCTGCTGAAGGAGATTAGACTTTTTAGTTTCCAAAGCACTTTATAAGCCTTGGATTCTATGTTTCAAAATCAATTTAAAAAATGCTTCTCTGATTGTATTTAGATGTTATACAACTGAATCTTAATATTTGTATTAGTCAGGGTTCTCTAGAGGAATAGAACTAACAGGATGTACATATATTTATCATAGAAACTCTCAGCTATACTTTGAATTGAAATTCAATTTAAATGTCATTGATTTTTGGTAAGAAGATTTGACTGTAGCTCAATGTCAAATTTGCTCTTCTCAACTAACTCATAGCACTCTAAGATGTGGAAATAAAATTTTTATAAGCCACAAAACATGAAAATCTAATACATAGATTTATTTGGTTTGATGGGTAAAGTATAAAAAGTAAAAAAAAAAAAAAAAAGCTGGGCACAGTGGCACATGCCTGTAATCTCAGCAGCTTGGGAGGCTGAGGCAGGAGGATCACGAGTTCAAAGCCAGCCTCGTGCTAAGCAACTCAGTGAGACCCTGTCTCTAAATAAAATACAAAATAGGGCTGGGAATGTGGCTCAGTGGTGGAGTGCCCTTGAGTTCAATCCCTGGTACCCTCCCCACCAAAAAAAAAAAAAATCTATCTATCTATCTATATCTATCTATCTATCTATCTATCTATCTATACTTTCAAGTGAAAGTAAAGGCCATGTTATTAATGACTAAAGCAAAGGGAAGTGTGTGCACTTGCCCCAGAGAAGGATCCTACCACTCCTTCCCGCCAGTCCCAGAGAATCCTGCTAGAAACAATTAGTTTAATTCTTGATGCAGAAAACAAATGCTTCTATTTTTAGCTCTTTCATACGTATTTAAAATTATGGAATGACCTAGTTCACGTCTAGGAGCTTTTCTCTTTAATACCAGAATATTAACCAGAAAATTAAATATTATATATTGAACAAATATTTTTAACTTATATTATGTAAAGCTCAGAGATAAACAAGATGAAGTTCCCTGCCCTCAGAGAATTGTCATCCACTGAGTAAGAAAGCAAGCTGCATAAATGGTGCAGAAAAGAGAAAGCAAGAATGTGGGCTGGAGATGAAATTGCCTGTTGTGTGGTTACAGGTTGGGATCCTGGGGTCCCCTTCATAGGGTCCAGAGGGATCTTTAGATTCAGCTGAGAAGGCAGAGAGAAAGCCTGTTTCACATGTTCTGTTGGAACTGTGGGGTGGTGATGGCAGCCCTTTACTGAGCTGTGGGCAGGAGATGGCACTGCCCCAGAGCCACTGCCCCAGGAGAAGCAGAGAAGGTGTGACCAACATCTGTGTTCCCTTTCCTAGGGAGGCAGATCTGTGGCAGGTTAATTTGCCATCTCTATCAAGAATTCATGGGCTGGGGATGTGACTCAAGCGGTAGCGCGCTCGCCTGGCATGCGTGCGGCCCGGGTTCGATCCTCAGCACCACATACAGACAAAGATGTTGTGTCCGCCGATAACTAAAAAATAAATATTAAAAAATTCTCTCTCTCTCTCTTAAAAAAAATTCACAGAAAAACCTAAAGTCATGTTTGTCTATTAATCTTGGGAATTTAAAGTGCAACTTTGCAAAATATCTTTGGATAATTGGATAATCTGTATTCAATATGTGATGATAAAGGATGACTATTTGCCTGAGATAATTAACAATAGAGTCATTAGTATTGAAATTATCATGAGCTTAAGGTGTACACTATATAGACTGTGTCCTGAGGGACATGGGCTGTTACTAGCTTGACCACATGTTATTAACTCTTAAGTGACATCAGCGATGTGGAGCCAGCATAGATTTGCCTGATACAGAGGTTTGGTGAGAGGGTGAGCCTGTGCATGTCCCCTCAGAATGCTCTCTAGCTAAGAATAGGAGCAAATGTGTGCCATGAGAGGGAGTAGAAATGGCTAATAAATATTTAAATACACATGCAAGCAAAGAAATGTAAATTTAAAAAAGTAGGTGACAGTTTCCCCTCCCCCCCCTTTTTTGCTTAAAAAGTTAGCACAGAATTACGCTATTTTAGACCACAAGGAAATTACGTGACCAAATTCTTCTAGCTCAGAGTTTTCACAAAGCTGACAAAAAAGCAATACCTGTGATTTATTTTCTTTCAAAATATCTAGTCTCTAGGCATTAAAGAGGTTGCCAGTGTATGAGAAAAGTAGAGTCAGTAAAGTAACACATTTTGTACCCTTTGTTTGTATACTTTGTAACTCTGCCAATATGTCTGAAAGGGACTTTTGGAGTGAAATTGTAGCATCACCTATGAGTGACACACATGCCTATATCACATGTGATGTAGGATAAACAAGTAGAAGAAATGAAGGACTCCAGGCCAGAATGATCCTAGTTAGAAGTCACTTTCTGATAACCATTGTCACATGTGTGTAGTTTATTCAACACTACTATGGACATAGTGGACAAATTTAAGTCCTAATTTGAAACATCTAGTTTTTCTAGATGTTTAGAAGTGCACAAAGTATGTTAAAAGTAAAGGTAGGAAATACAACATTTTGTAGACATATTTTTGTTAAAATTCATAATGAAATAACTGTCTTTTGGAAAAGGAATGGTCAAAACACTTCTCTGAGCAATACATATTATATTTGTGCTGTTCAGGGAGGAAGAAGGAAAAGAAAATGCAAAGGGCTTTATACCAATGTAAATTCTGTGAAGCAAGATTGACCATTGCCCCTTAGATCTGTGAGTTTTGTTTTACTAGGCTGTGTAAATAGTGCATATAAAGACAAGTGAGTCTTAATTGACATCTAGTCTATCTAGATGTTAGGGAGGTTGCCAGTGTATGACAAAAGTTGAGTTAGTGAGCTAACGCATTGAGTACACTGGGTGTTAAAATTCATAGGAAAAACTGTTCTTAAAACACTTAGGAAGTGAAATTGTTAAAGTCATCTCTAAGCTTTACAGATGCATATATCTGAACCCTGGGTTGATAAGAGATGAGAAGGGGAAGGTTTCTAGGCCAGAATGTTCCTGTTTGGAAGACACTTTCAAATTCTAGCCTTTGAAAAGTTTTTTTTTTTTTTTCTTTTTTGCTTCAAAGTCTAGTCTTTGTTAAGTAAGTGTGTGCAGTTTATTCAGTGCTCCAGTACGTATAGTTGGAAACTTAAGTCCTTGTTGGAAACATCTCGTCTTTCTAGATATTTAAAAGTGCACAACACATGGTAAAAGTAGAGGGTTGATGTAATGCCCTTTAAAGTATTTTTCATGACTACATAGGAATGGTTGTGATTTAGGGGAATGGCACTGCTGAACTTAATGTCTTTTTTTTTTTTTTGGTTGTTTATGGATTCAATGCCATTATTTTATTTATTCATTTTTTATGTGGTTCTGAGAGTTGAACCCAGTGCCTCACACAATAGGCTCTGAACTTGATGTCTTGAAGGTTTGCTGGGTGCTGGGTGGGGGAAGGAGAAAGCATGCATAGAGAAGCACTCTGTGCCCTTAGATTAGTTCAGATGGCCTAGCTATTGTTATATGTACATTTTAGTTAATATTGCGGGGTATTAAAGGAGAATGCACAAAGTTTGTTAGAAGTAGCAAATAACCCATACATCAATATCTTTTTGTTGGTTTTAGGAAGAACTGTCTTCTGGTAATGACCTTTGTTAATCTATCTCTTGGTGCTAGATGCAGTCCTGAATTTAGTCACTCGAATGATGAAGAGGGAGAAGAGGAAGGGTGAGGGGAAGTACTCCTTGCTAGTATCTCGTATCTGGAAGACAGTTTTAGAATATAACCAAAGATCGCTGTGTGCAATTTTAGTAAAGTATTTGTGTTTATTTTGCACAAAGTTTATGCTTTATCTCACAATGTATAAGCTTTCTGGATGTCCCGAGGTGACAGTGTATCATAAAAAGTAGAGCTAG